GACAGTTTTCGATTCCTTTCCTGGGCATGCTCTCGCGTCGTACGGCCTTTCAATCGATCGTGTAATGTGGAATGGGGAACATCATATAACACAGAAGCTTTTCGCAGACTTGAGACTTGGCCCTTCTTATATGCTTGAAGAGCCAAAAGAATCTTTCCTTCCTGATTGGAAGCTTGTGGGAGTCTTGAGGTAGGCATTTTTGTTGATGGGAGTGGAGGCGCGTAAGCGTGGTGAGAAGTGTCCGACTAGGTCATTTGTCCGACTAGGTTATAGATTACGTTATTATCTAATGTATATTACATAATTACAAACACTTCCAGGCTAACCCTCAAAGGCAAGATCACCATCGACAGCCGAGGCCCGGAAGCTGCTCGGCGATAAGGACGAACATCTCGGAAGAGAAGCATCTCGTCTTGGGCTTGTCTTGATTCAATTACTTTATATCATTGGCATTCTTCTTCGTTGTATATACGTACGTACGTGCATGTATTTGATGTAATTATTGGATTGTCTACATTCATATCTACCTCATACCTACCTACCTCCTACTCAACATTCTACTCCGTCGGGAAAACCCCTCCGAAAGAAAGGCTTGGTCGTCAACGTTTCACGACAGGCGGTCAATCTGCTGTGCTACACACAATACAATGTCACATCGGGACCATGACACGAAACAAAACACTCCGAATGGCAAGAACAACAGCAACGAGACAGGTCCCGTCGTGGTCGGCGGGCACCACTACACTCCGTCCATGCCCCCGCCAGGCCTGAACACGCCGTACGACATCTCCGCCGAGGAACTGAGCCACTTCCGCTCCAACGCCTGGGCGAAATCCCTGCTGGCGTCGGCCCTGCGCGACGGGGCGGGCGAATACTTCCCCATCGCGACGTGGTCGCGCGTGCCCAAGCCGTCGACGGGCGAAGACGGCTTCTTCTCGCAGACGCTGGCGACGCCGTCGACGGTGCCGTTCGTGCTGACGCTGCGGAGGAAGAATCTCGAGCCGGTCACGGCGTCGTTGCCGAAGGAGCCTCCTGCGGCGGCGGATCCGAAGCAGAAAAAGCCCGTCGCGCCCGACCGTCCCCCGGATACCATCACCCTGATCACGCTGGCGAGCCCCGGGGTGTGCGGGCACCCCAACACAGCGCACGGCGGGCTGATCGCCAGCCTGTTCGATGAGGTCATGTCGTTAGCCGTGGCGCTGCATATGCCGCCGTCCGCCAATCCGTCGCTAGGCTCGCAGTCGCGTGACGGGTTGATGTTCTACACGGCGCAGCTGAGTGTGCGGTACAGACAGCCCGTGGCGGTGCCGGGGCTGCTGGTGATCCGGTCGTGGTGCGTTGCCCGCGACGGACGCAAGTACTGGACGGTGGCGCGTGCACTACAGGAGGAGGAAGGCGACAAGGAGGGAGGACAGTTGGAATCGGCCAAGCGAAAGACAGTACGGGCAGAGGGGACTGCCATGTGGATTGAGGTGCCGTTGTCAAAGTTATAGCCGGGGTGAGCTGGGCTGCTGTCTGGACATACATGAATACATAGAGTAGAATTTCCTCCATTTGTATATATATAGCAATGGCATGCCTTGGAATCTGATCGTATGAATAGTATAGCAGAGACCTATTATTAGTCTTAATATGGTCCAGTCCTGGCGACGAATCAACAATCTATGGATCTATCATTAAGTAGACATCCGTATACACCAGACAGTGTATCAGGCCAGAACTACTAGATCTTCGCCTTCGCAGCCCCTTCGCCCTGGCCTTGTGCTTGTCCTTGTCCTTCGGTTTTATACGGCAGCTCCCTCCCCTTGAGATTCCGACTCGCACTCACCACCAAGCCGACCTGCGTCGCCAACGCGACGACCTCGCCGCGCTCATCCAGCACCACGACGTCGATATCCGTACGGCCATTGCGGATGCTCTTCATCGTGACGCGGCTGTAGAGCCACTCGACGCCCGTCGTCGGCGGGAGGCGTTTCTTGAAGTCGACGTAGAGCGTCACGGTCGGGAACCAGAACGGGCCTCCATCATCAGCAGCATAACCAGCAGCAGTACCGGCATCCTCCAACCCCTGCAGCGTGAGCGGGGAGAGATCGATCAGGTACGCCACCGCTTCATCGGTCCATCTCCCCTCGCCGCCCTTGGGGCCCAGCGGACGGAATCGCGCCCACTGGTCGATGATGCCCCATCGTCGTTGTCGTAGTTCGGTATCAGCAGGGCCAAAAACCTCGGTATGGTTCCATGCGCGCCGGAATTTGGAGAACCGCTGGGAGACCCGCACCCAGGGGCTATCCGGTGCGAGACGGACGTCGCCTTTGCCATTGCCATCGCCAGTATTACTAGTAGTAATAAACTCCGGAGGACGCAAACTCGGCGGAGGGGGATACACGGTCCAGTCCGAGTCAGTCGACAGCCCGACTTCAGATACTGGATCCGAGACGGTGATGTACCCTGCTACTTTGACGGAGTGCTTCTTCTTCTTCTCGCCATCGCCAGTCGACGACGTCTCCTCCTGCGACAGCGTAACATGGATAGTCGACGTCCTGGCGCCCAATTTCGCATCCTGCACCGTCAGCAGCGCGGGCCCCGCGGCCGTCCGTCGCAGAAACGTCAGCTGGATGCTGATGGGCATGGGATCGGAGTGGTGGCGCGTCGGATGGGTGTGCTTGAAATGCGTCGTGGCGAGACGGTGCAGGACGGCCGTTGTGTAGCCGCCATGGGGGACTTGGAAAGAACTCGTCAGCAAAAAAGAAATTCACTGGTTACGTTGTTCATATTTGTATCTAGGGCATTACTTACCGCTCCCAATACACCACTCCGGACTCAGATTCGCAGAATAGGTATGCGACGAGAGGGGCGTGACGGCGATGGCGTCTTCGAATTCTTGCGTGTGAGGCGGTGTCATCTTATATATTCGCCTTTTGTGTTTCTCTTTATCTATCGACAGGTCGCTCTATAGTAATGTATTATTCGCTTGAACATTCATTCATTCATTCGCCTGTCAGGCCCAGGCAGTGTATAAATAACGTCAGCGTGTTTCGTTTCGAACACCAAGCAGGATTGACCAAATGTTAATATTGTAATTAACTCAGGTCAGGTACGAAAGTATTGATATTAGAAGGTAGGTAATTGGACGAGGAAAAAAATACGTCCATTCGATGAATATCAATATTAGTATTTAGTATACTCCGTAGTAGTGACAATTAATTAATGAATTAATGATAAGTAATGATGAATCTGGCATTATTACTAACGCTGGTTCAATCAATTAACCTCGGCATGTGACGCGGCTGGGCCCGCTGGGGTCCCCGCAGCTGGTGGTGGAGAGCTGATTAGCTAATAATACTAAAAATGGTTGCAGACGTTGTACTTCAGAGTACTGTATTTATTGAGTGAAGATGCTCATGCTCATGCTCAACATCAAATCTACAAAAAATCATGCAAATCGTCGCATGCGTAAACTCCATCAAGATCCTCAACGCCGGCCGTAGCCCTCCCTGCTTCGCTGCTCAACTAAATAGCCGTTCGTCATTTACTTCGTGAAAAGCCTGGAAAAAGACCGGTGTATATCCCGGCGCCAGGGCTAGTTATAGCCTCGAGGAGTGTTGTCGTCGAACGGTAAAAAAATGAAAAGAATAAATCACTTGCTAGCAAGTCCTGCAAGAAACAAAATCGGACGTCTCCGGCAGAATTGAAAGCCTGCCTAACTACATGCAGCCAGTCGCTGCAGACAAGACAACACACCTATCCAAGTCAGCACGCTGGAAATAAATACGAAAGATACATCTACCCACCAGTCACTCCCTGCGTCAACGTGGCCTTCGCTTCCGTGCTTCTCGACCCCAGCGTCACCGTCATCACATTCTCAATCGCCTTGGCTTCCGCCAGCTTGTTCGCCCAGCGGAATACCACTTCGTCTTCCCGATTGTCCCCCACAACCAGCAGGAAATCCGGTCGGCCATCGTCGTCCTCCGTCTTGCTCCTCTCGATGGTGTAGCGCCATACCAGCTCCGCCGCCGTCGCCTTGTTGGTGTCGGAGGTCTGCACGACCAGCGCCCCATCGATCGGCGTCGCGTGCACGCGCTGGCTCGCACATGCGTCGTTGATATGGTCGGCACACTCCGACGCCTGTCGAGCCGCCGTCACCTTGTCCTCCGCCGAGGCATAGTGGAAAACGAGCGAGCAATGCCGCTCCTCGATCCAGCTGCCCTCGGTCCGCTCGCGGAAGTAGTTGAGAATCCCCATCGCGCCCGACTTCCACACCTTCGTATCACTCTCCTGGTTCAGCTTGATCCAGCTCTCCTTCTGCGGCTCGCGCACAAAGCAGCCGTTCTCCGCGATCAGTCCCAATCCCGCAACCCGGCGGAACAGTCGCTCCATCTCCTCCGGCATTCTCGAGCTCATCACGTAGACAATGTTCCTCGGATCCTCGACCAGGTCCGTCAGCGTGGTGAGTGCCCGCTGCGGCGTCGTCAGAATAATGCTGGTCGGAGACCCCCACGAGGCCAGAGTCCCTTCATAATCCAGAATGAAAAGCCGACGGCGGGACTTGCGGTAGTTTTCTTCCAACTCGTCGACAGACAGGCGTGGCACTGCCATCGTTTCGCGCGATGAGTGTTCGTTCCAGACCTTGGACAGCGTCTCGCGGAAGGACTTGACCCAGTTGACCGTCGAGTTCTGCAACACAGCATCATACAGCTTATGCCACACCTCCTCCCGTTCGGCATCGCTCATGGACAGCGCCGTGTGGATAGCCTCCGCGCATTGACGGTAGTCCCAGGGGTTGACCAGCAGGGCATGGCCATCAAACACCGACGCACTCCCGGTGAACTCGCTGAGAATGAGCGAGCCATGCGCCTTGGGCCCGTACTTCCCATCCTGGCAGAAGACAAACTCGTGACTGGTCAGGTTCATCCCCTCGCGGAGACTGGTTATCATCAGAGCATCGGCAACGGTGAGGAGTGCGAGATACTGGCCAAAGGAGAGGTCCTTCTTGAGGAAGACGAGAGGTTGATGAGCCAAGGTCGAATGAGTCGAATTGATGCGCGTGGCGATGTCGGTAATTGCGGTTTCCAGCTCCATCTGCTCGGTGGTAGAAGACGCAACTTGAATGAGGACGACCTTGTCCTTCCATTCTGGATACGTATTGAGGAAGAGTTCATAACTCAGCAGTTTCTGACGCACGCCCCGAACCGTGTCGAGCTTGTCCCGCGAGACAATCAGCCGCTTCCCCTCGTATCTCTCCGCGATCAACTTGACCCAGTGATCGACGTCCGGACTCTGGCGTCGCTTGTCCCACGACTTGGGATCGATGCCGATGGGGAACTTGCCCACGTTGACGAAGCGATCTTCCAGCTGAATGCCCTCGTTCTGCGCTTCCACACAGAGGATGCGACTGCACGTCTGCAGGAAATGACGGCAATACTCGTCGGTTTGGAACCCGACCAAGTCGGCACCCAACATGCCCTCCAACAGCTCCTTGCGGGGTGCCAGACAGCGGAAGACCTCCGACGAGGGGAAGGCCACATGGAGGAAAAAGCCGATCTGCGCATCTGGCAGCATCTTCCGCAGCATGGCCGGGACAAGCAGCAGATGATAATCGTGAATCCAGATGGCATCGCCGCGCCGCCAGTTCCTGGCGATGTGCTCCGCAAAGGCCTCGTTGATCTTGACATAGTAGATCCACGAGTGGTCCTCATACGCCTTGCTCTTGGGGTTGTCGGGGATCTGATAGTGGAAGACTGGCCACAGAATGGTCTTGCAGAAGTGCGAATAGTGTCCGTCAAAGTCGATGTCTCGGACATAGACGGTCAGCGACTCGTGTTCATTCTCGAGCGTCTCCGCGATCGTTGCCTTGGTGTCGTCGTCCAATGCATCGGTCGGCATGCCCAGAGTGCCCACCCACTTGATGTCCTCCAGTGTGCCAGAATCTCTGGCCGAGCGCACCGCGTTTCGGAGGCCACCATTGCCCTGCTCCGCCGGCACGATCGTCCAGTCAGCGCGGGAGAAGGAGATGGACCGGTGGTGACCCCTCAGTTGCTGTTCCTGGGCCTTTATGGCTTCGATAGTTCCGCGCTTGGGCTCCTGCGGCAAGACGGGTTCTTCGTGCTTGAGGATTGATGGCGAGGGCAGGGCGATGTTGTTCTGCGGGCGGGGTTGGGTGAAGGAGGAGGTCGCGCCCCAGACGGGAGAGTGAGCCTCGCTCTGGGCCAGGCCATGGAGCTCTTGGGGGGTGGACGCAAAAGGGTATCCATCCTGCTTGTCGAACCTGGAGATCTGCGGGGTGAAGATGCGTTCATGCTCCGTGGTCGCCCCGGGCGTCAATCCCTTCTTGGCCAAGTCATTCTCACGTCTCGCAAACAGACTCACCGCGGGATTGCGCACGGGAGTCGATGGACGCACGGGAGTCGATGGCCGGGAGGATCTCGATCTGGGACTGCCAGGGTAGGATCGCTCGCTGGGAGACTTGTCGAGGTGGAAGTTGACGGTATAAGGGAGAAATCTGTCGCCGTCAGCGTATCGATGAGATAGACGGAAACTGAGCAAGGAATTGGCAGTTTAGCAACAACACAACATACAGAGATGCAATAAAGACAGTCATGGTGGCTCGAATGGCGGTTGACTTCAAGTGTATTACTGTATGTACAAGGCGTGTAACGCGGTGGTCCCGTGCCCCTCAATTCCAATCTAGGGCGCGGTGCAAAGCAGGCAGACAGCAGGGACCCTGCAGATGACGTCTCACTGCCCGACCGTCTGCAGTTGAGAGGGGCAGCAATAATGACTGACGGTGACACAGGAGAGCTCAATCGAGGGTACGGCGTAGGACTCGACGACAGGATCTCTCAGTGACAGGCATGGCGGTGGAGCAACATTGTCTCGACTGCCAACTACGTCATGTGAAGAGAAAAAAAAAGGGAAAAAGTATCCGGGCGGGCCAAGCCAGCTGCTACTAGGAATCGTTAAAAAGCCTTTGGGCAGCTAAGAAAACAGCAATGTAACCAGGTCGAGCGCCCGGAGCAGCGTGGTGATTTATGGCATTGTGTGGCCTGGGACGAGGGCCGTGATGTCTCCATCCAGGGTCTGGTCCCCCGCCGACCATGGCAAATGCCCGATCGGGCCTCCATCAACGGAGATGATATCCACGGTGTGTCGTCGCCCACGCGTCCATGCCTGCGATTGGTGGAAACGACGCTCCAGCTGTTGGTGCAGGGACGCCGCAGGCTGGATGCAGTTAGGTACTGGGATCAGATGCGTCACAGCTGCAAGCATGAGGGCCGTGGTGCCTGGGCTGGCTGGATTCGTTCTTCACTGCCAGACGCCGACGAGGAGCATCCAGGGCACGGCGTTCCAGGGAACTGCCGCACTTCCGCGACCGGCCACGTGACTGACGGCTGACTAACCAGGTCGCTCTCAGCTGTCGCTCTCAGCTATGGTTCAGCTTGCCACCAGGAAATGAAAAAAGAAAATATAGCAGTCGTACACATGAAACTGTAATCCTCCTGTATGTAGCTCTCGACTCATGCCCCTCCGCATCACGTCCGCGCCCGTCTCCGGCATCAAGAAGAGAAAAAGCTCTGCGCCGCGCGCTCGCCCGTCGCCCTTTGCTACCCATGCGCGCTCCAAGCCATCTGCGCGCGGAAGCCAGGAGGCGGGCAAGTCCCTGTCGGGCGATGTCAATGATGGCGCCATAGCCGACACGGAACCGCTGCCGGATCTCGGGGCGTCGCGGTACATTGCAGAGACTGCTGCCGTCCGGGATGTCATCCAGGCGATACGCCATATCAAGGACTCGATGTTCGAGGAGCTGCCGGCACGGGCGGGCATGAACAGCACGCGTATCGCCCAGGTCCTCAATCTGCGACGGTCGCTGCCCCCCTTGGTCTCCGTCGCTCATATCCACACGCTGATGCAGGCGCCCACCCAGGTCGAGCGAGAGATTGTCGACCTGGTGCGCGCCGGCCGTCTCCGGCGTATAATCGTGCCGGGCAGAGGTAATGATGCGGCAGGGTTGGGAGACTGCCTGATTTTGACAGAAGACCTGAAGGAACTTGTGCAGAACAGCGCTGGCCTGGATCAGTCGCTCAAGGGTAAGGAAAGATGGTGCTTCCCCTGCGAAATGACGGCCCTTCTCCGCTGACATCGTCGTGGTCGGACAGACCTGTTTCTGCACATGCTGGACCAAATGGGCAATTCCTCGGCGATGCCTGCTACCGCGTTCTCGCCAGAGGAGTCGAGTGCCTTGGTTCGGGCCGGGTTTCTCGTATCGGCATCATCTCTGGCAAAAGGCTCGTTGAACGTGGCGTCGCTCCCGGCCGTGCCTCCATCTCTGGGGGCAGCCGCTGCCAGCCGGAGTGAGAGTGAGGGTGATCAGCAGAAGCCCGAATCAGGCGACAGAGGCCATGATTCTCCCCAGTCCCGGGCGGCTACTCTGTTCCTGTCCCTTCCCAACACAGGACCGTACCTCCGTTTGCTGGGCGCCGGCCGTTCGCATCTGCTGTCCCTCTTGAAGAAATCCAAGTATCACGAAGCGCCGTTGTCTCTTCTCCGCGACCGCTGGGACGGGGCGGTGGAAACGGACCGGAGCTACTCCCTGGCCAAGAGAGCTCGAGGGGAGTCGAGCGGCGTGCTCCCGGGCCGGACCAAGAAGTGGAAGGAATTGTATGGGATGAGTTTCCAGTGGGTGTTGGAAGAAGCCCTGGGTGCGGGACTCATCGAGCTGTTCGATACGGGCAGCGTCGGTCCTGGCGTCCGCTGCTTGTGATCACTCCATGGATGTGGACAGAAATCAAGAGAGAGACAGACAGATAGGTCTCGCGAGTCGAAGGATGACCTGTCAGGCTAGGCGATGACGGGCGAAATCAGGACAAAGGAGGCCATCGGAAGAGATGGACCTTTTCGTGCATCACGTGTGCCGCCCATTGAGAGCCTGGAGGAAGAGAAGGCGACCCTCCTTCCACGCAGCTCTTCATTGAGAGCTTTACAGCGAATGCCAGCACTGCCATCGGGACTCGTCCGCGACTGAGCCTATATCGGACAGATGGTCCTAGTTCTCACCATGGGGTGGGATGAACATGGCCAAGGATATATACCAGCTCCGTGATACCATTTGAAATTGTCTGAAAAGACACTGTGACTATGACTGGCAGCATCGGCGCATACTCTACAGAATATATAGAATAAAGAGAGAGCTAGAGAGATAGAGGATCTATCTTACTGCAGACCAGACCGCGTCCACTTCGAATGCTCTGTTTCTACAACAGAACAGGTGTCTTGCGCGGATAATTGCTGCCGCAGATGATTAGATATTCATTCGAATAGGGTATATATATCTCTATCTATACACCAGGATGGAATCGCCTCATTCATTGCTTCTTCCTCTGCCGGGCAGTCCAGTCAAGAAACAACCCCACATCCGCAACGACCGCCTTGGGCACTCCACCCATCGTCCAGCTCCGCTGCACCCACTGCGGGATCAGCCCGCCTGCATCGGACGTCGTGGCCATGGTCCACTCGATGTTCTTCCGGTTGCTGCCGTTGTTAGTAGCGGAGGACGAGGAGCCTGGTGGTAACAACAGGACCCGCTCGACGCTGGCGTACGAGGCAAAGATGGTATTTTTCGGCGTCGTCGATCTGATCTGGTCGCGGATGGAGTCCGGCAGAGGAGAGTCGGATGCCTGGGCGGCAGGATCGTGCGTGAGGGGGATTTGGACGGTGAAGAAACCTTGCGAGGGCGTTTCGGAGCCGCTTTGTTCTGTCGCTGGGAGGACAGCGGAAATGACGAGGGAGATGAACGTGCGTGGGGAGATAAGCGCGCTAGGGTGGAACGTATGCGTGATAAGATTGACTGGTTGATTGATCGATTGTCTGATTAGATATGATGTTCCTCTCTCTAAAAAAAAAAAGATCGGTGTATATATTGAGGCTATAATACACGATTTGAATGACTGCGCGGATTAACTAACCATGCATATGAACACTCCTCCACCCGCCTTCGATCTCCGCCTGTATCGGCCATTCTAGCAGATGCTCCACCGCCGTCACACTTGGCGTGTAAGCCATCTCGTTCTCGGAATGGTTCTCCCTCAGGCCCTTCTCGAACTCCTCCCACGTCGCGGTGCCCTCCTCCGCGGCATCGACGTGCACACTCCGCCGACAGACCCAGAACTCATTGTCGATTGTGCCAGTTGAGAGCTGCACCTTGGCCGCGGATGGGGAGGACGATCGTAGTTTCTTGTCGGTCTTGAACGTCTGCGGGATGGTGGTTGCCACGAGGGTCTGAGTCTCAGAGAGAGCAGAATGGAGGAATGTCTCCAAGGACGGGCGAAAGGTGGAGGAGGAACGATCATTCAAGGATGGATGTGGGGGAAGGGAGGAGAATGGAAGGGGACGAAGTCGGATGAGGGACGAGGGCATTGTGCTAATCACCTGACCACCGAAGAGTAAAACTGAAGAAAGTCAAGAAAGGGGGGTAAAAAAGCTTGGTTATTATGATGCTTGTGAGAAACCTCAGGGTTATTGGTATCTGGTAGTTTTGGTGGAGAAGATGAGAAAGCGCAGCATGAATAATCACACCTGAGGTTCAAAGGTGAGACGCGGACCGTCTCAGCAGCTCCGTCCACAGCTTAGCAACTTGCCTAAGTAAACGATTTAGTGTTGCTTGCCTCCATGTCACATACTCCGTAGATTGGCCAGCATATGGTTTTTCCAGGAAGAGGCGACTGGTAAAGATTTATTCACAATTGCATGTGAGGATTATACTCCGTATCGAGATAGTAGACAGACCAGGTAGATCCATGGATCGATAGGCGGTGGATTCCTTTCGGGCTTCTTATTGGTGATTTTGCTCATCCATATCACCTCTTTCCTCTCTCATCGATCAGCGTCCACCATATAACTGAGAAACAAAGGGTCAAAATGATTTGGAAAGCACCTTCTTTATTCTTGGTCATTGTGTTCAATTTCGTTTAATTCAGCATAGCACAAACACATACATGCACACATACATACAATAGATAACCCAAAGGCAAAGAGGGCAAAATAGTTTATAAAAGGAAAGAGTAGAGAAAGAAATTGCAAAAGTCACCAGTCTTCTTGCCCTCTTGTGCCCAGCTAAATCAACCTGTTCCCTGAATCCCACCTCGTCCGTCCGTCGGAGAAAAAAATCGAAGGAAAATACGTGGAAAGGTACTGCAATATCAAGATGAAATCATGCCCATTATCAAATACCGGAAATCGTTGAGGGGGAGAGGAGAAAAAAACCAGAGGAAAAGCAAAATTTTGCTTAGTTTTACACTCCGTACACCCGACCACCTCCTTTTTGAACCCAAAAGGAGCTAGGGGAAAAAAAAAGGTCATACCAAACCCTAAAGGAATGAAATGTAGAAGAAAGAAAATAGAAACAGGCAAAGCGAACGCCAAGCCAACAGGACACTGACATGCATATTGACCAGATAAAAAAAAATCTCCAGGTCGAAAGGGAAAGAGAAAGACAAAGAGAGTAATACACAGGAAGAATGCCTTGCACCCAAGAACCTTGGAAATATTAAAAAGGATATCATCAGGAGCAGATACGGCTGAGATGCTCCGGAGATGACATGGAAGGAGAAGGCTGGGGCAAAACAGGGGTCGGGTCGTCTTGGTCTGTAACGACAAGGAATTTCATCTTCTCTTCTCATTAGACACGTCATGCAACTCCGCTGACTCTCCTATTCCGGATCGAACCACAGACGACCCTTCACGGAGCGGGGCTCCATGAGGATTTCCGAATGATCACATCCCACACCCAATAAAACCGACATAAAATAAGAGAAGGGGGTATATAGGAAAAGAAAACTAAAAGAAAAGAAAAACCGTCGCGCCAATACAATCGAAACCGGCATCAGGATTGAACATCAACGTAACTTGCTCCGGATATATTTTCTCTTTCCTGGTTACTCTCCTCACCGCGTACCGCTATTTCCGCCATTCCCTTCTCCCTGAGCCTGCTGTGGAGGCGGAACCGTGGAGCTTGATCCCGAGTTCTGTGTGGCGGCGATTTGTGCTCTCAAAGCCACGACTTCAGTTCGTAATATATTTAATTCGTTATGTACGGATTGAATGTAGGCCCATAACTTATCTTCCCGGCTTTGCTCCGCAGTGCCGTTGGGATCCTGAGGCCCCGACAATGGACCCGTCTGACCGGATTCGCCCCCAGTTTGGGGAGCAGCTGGGGTGCTATGGTTGCTGGAATGACTGTGTGTCGCCGTGTGTTTTGTAGGCAAAGCGGAAGGTGGTCCTTGAACGGGCCCTTGGTTGTGCAGCGGATAACGGGCATCTGGAGGATTGAGTCCAGGTGGAGGAGGCAGCTGAGGAGCCCCCGGTTGGGGAGGTGGGAGACCCAAAGATGTTTGCGCGCTACCTGTCGAGGGCGGTGCCGGTCCGGTCCTGCTATAGTGTTGCTGCTGTTGTTGTTGCTGTTGCTGTTGCTGCTGTTGCTGTGGCTGCTGCTGCTGCTGCTGTTGTTGTTGCTGTTGTTGTTGCTGCTGCTGCTGGTACTGTTGAGTTAAGCTGGGAGAGTGGGCGCGATGTTGCTGGTGCAAGTGAATGTTAGCACCTTCGGACCCGTGACCAAGTTGGTTCGATGCCAATGCATTCGGTGAAAGTGGTTTGGGACTATCGGTCATACTATGGGCCGGGAAACTCGACGAGGAAGGATGCCCGGGTGGGGGGAACGTCATCGCCCCCGTCTGAGAAATCGGCGAGGTCGATGAGCTCGAGCCTCCATGACTGGTCGCCGGAGGGAAGAGACCGCCGGGAGGTGGAGGTCTGCTGGCGGCAATGGGAGGATACGTGCTTGGCCCTCGAGACTGGAAGGCTCCAGAGCGGGGGACAGGTTCTGTCGAAGGCGCATTGTGCTTCCGAATGCTAGGCATGTTCAGTCGCCTTTCATCTTCTTCATCCATCCGCTCCGGTTCGGTATACATGAGACCATCCATGGCGTCCTCGCCCCCCCCAGGCCCCACGTCCCCATAGTCCTCTTCCCCCACGAAGCTTCCCATACTTGCTCGCCGCCCAGCACATCCTCCCTGGCCTTTGTTATGACGAGCCAGGGCATCTCCTCGGGCAAACCTCCGACCACATTTGGGACAAATGTGGGGTCGTTCGCCAGTATGCAGCTTGGTGTGCCGTTTCAGGTCATGGAGCCGCCGGAATCGAGATTGGCAAGTCTGGCAGACGTACGGTTTCTCTTGACTGTGAGTGAGAAGATGGCTCTTGAGGTTGTGGTGTCGCGTGAACTCGGTCGAGCAGTAGGGACATCGATGCTTTTTGGCCGAGGGAGATCGTGGGCTGCCCTTATGGAACCCTGAATTGGGGAGGCTTAAGCCGCGGCGCGGATCGCCCATGCTGACGGTGGGCATGGGGTAAGAGAAGGCTTTGTTCGCATCTTCCGGTATGTCGTGCGTCTCGTGCGACTCGTTTTGGGGCCGGGATCGGTCGCCATCCTGGGACGCTGTCTCCTCGATCGGGCCGGGACTTGCCACGGTTGAGCTGTTTATCAAGGTTCCCGAGGTCGTCGCTTGATCACCGGAACCAAAGGTGTCTGCAACGGCGCCTGGGCTCCTTTGAGGATCCACTTGCATTTCATCCGATGACATCTGAATCGACCTAGCAACGGTGTCCATCGGCTCACTGAGTGTATTGGACGCGTTCGCCTGGTCCTGTGACTTTTGGTCTTTGTCGGCACTGGGCCCGACGGCCGCTCCCAGGGCTTCTCGAGCGACCTGGGGACTGGCCTGTTGCTGCTGCTGATGTTGTTGTTGTTCCCGATCCTTCTCTTGTTCGGACGGCCGATCAGCCGGACCGGCCGTGGTTGTGCTCGCCATGCGGGGCGACGATGAAGGTCTTGATGCCTCTATCCCGGGAGAAGGAGAGGTGCGCAACCCGGCGCTGGCAATCGAGCTCAAATGTGATTCTGGCTTCGGGGGGGAGGTCTTTAGGAAGGAGATTTGCTCGGGCGGCCCGCTAAGGATCGAGCCAGAGGTCGCAGGGAGGGGATTCGAGATAGCAACGGGATCACTACTGGTTTGCATTGACCCGGCCATGAACGCACCACCGTATCTCGCGCCCGCCGGTAAGATACGACGGGGCTGATGGGAAAGAAGTCCAGATGCTAGACTGGTAGTCATGTCAGCCGAAGCCCAGGTAACATGCAGTCAGTGACAGCGACACGAGTAACGACCGCAGGGGGGATTTGGCAGGAATGAAAACTGGACGTCGGATGAGGGCTTCCGACATGGGGAAGAGTCTTGCGACAGGCTAACCAGGGCCTTCTGGCATGGAGGAGGAAGAACCAGGTGAAAACCAGCAGTACATGTACCGTTACTTACCAACGCGTAAGGCGGCGCTGTGTTCCTGAAGCGAGTGTGGCGCAAGCTGACGGATTCAGCTTCGCTCAGGGTTTGGGTGGATGGTGGAGAGCAATGAGGGTCACGCAAAAAAAAAAGCCCCGAGGCGCAGGAAAACAAGAAAACCGTAGACGATTCAGCCCTGCGGCCAGAGCCTTCCTTTCCGCAACGGCGTCGAGAATCCCCGCAAGCTAATTGAAACGGGCCATCGAGTACTAGGTGTGTATACCTCAGACTTTTTCGGCGGCAGCGGAGGCGCCAGAGAAGCAGGCTGGAGACAGCCCAAGGTCGCGGAGGAGACGGGGAAGCGGGCACCGGGCGGTGGTGGCAAGGCCGATGGAAAAAAAAATCAAACAGGACAAAAAAGGAGAAACTACCAACGGAACGGGAAGCGGCTCGAGGAACACAAAAGAACGAGTCGAGCGTTAATGGAGAAGGGAAAGGACAGGAACGGATGGGGAAAACGAGGATGTTGTGGTGTGGGATCAAGAATCGCGATGGGCGAGGGCTGGACCTGGTCGAGAGGGACAATGACGGGCGGAGAAGCGACTGCAGCACGGCCCCGTAGCGAGGGACCTGAGGAGCAGAGCCGCGAACCGCCAGACACGCAACGCGGCAGAGGCACGACAGGAGCGACAAGCCAGAGGCAGGAGGGGAGGGGAGAAGAGGAGAGAGACCGTTATCGGTGGGCGTAGGAGTGGCTGAGCACTGGCAGGAGAGGCAGACAGAGGCAGGGCAATTGGGGAGCAGCGAGGACTGTTGGCAAGGACAACCGCAATGGTTTGGTCATTAGCCCGCGAGCAAGCACCGGGGCTGGCTTGGCTGGCTGGTAACTGGTACAGTTCTGTCTGTGACGTGACAGCGGCTCGGCTCAAGGCGGAGGAGGCTGGTGCGGCCCAGCACGCAGTTCACGTGCGCCCCGTCACGACACATACAGTACCGCCCGTATTGCTGCGTCCTGAGTGGCCGTGTTCTGCTCAAAGTCAGGCCAGCCTCGGAACGCACATCCTGCGCATCCTCCCGGCGAACACCTATCACTATCATGCGGCAAAGCCATCTCGCCGTGATGCTGGTCCTGTTGCGGCCCTGGTGGCTGATGGCTGGTTTTGGGCCCTGTGAGTGGAGCCCTGCTAGTGGTCCACAGATCCCGTGGAAACGGACGCCCGCTGCTGGGATTCGAGGCTGGGACGAGCATCGGCTGTGCAGAGGACCAGGGCAACGGAGCAGTCGCTGTCTGTTGAATTCAATTGACGAGGAACCGGGCCTGATAGGACGATAATGCGAGCATAATCAGCATTGCTCCTCGTCTGATGCCCATTCCAGCGAACAAGAGGCGCAGCAGAGCACCTCTTGGGGGCCAAGCCCGACATCCGTGGTCCGCCCGACAACGGTTGGTCCAGGGCCCGTGGGCAGAAATGCGGCTGTGTTGCTGCTGGTCGGCCTATCCGTGGCCGCTGCTGGGGCATCGCGATACATCAGACCACGCTGTGACGCAAGTGCTCGAGAAGCTGCCTGTGTCACCAGATGGATCCAGGGGCCCGCTGCCGGAGCGGAGTGCTGATACAGTGATACTACTTTAAGCGCGGAGGACCACCACCTCGATCCAATGAGTCTTGTACGGAGTAATCTGTAGAACACGACCAGACTGAGAGGTGGATCGAGGCCGAATCCAGCTGTTCTGAAAGGTCCTAAATAAAGTGCTCGACAGTCCATCCATCCAATGATCTATCCTCCACCCAGCGCCAAGCTCCAATTTTCAGCACAACACAGTTTTATTTGCGGCATGGACCGCCGCCAATGATGAAAAGAGCCTTTTCGCGATGAACCATCTCTCAGCCTGGGCAACGCATCGCGAAGACCATCCCGTATGATTGGCTGCGCGAGGCAGCGAGGCTGACGCGTGACACCGCGGGGTCGCCGGATGCTTCCGACCCAGCGATCGCCTCGCAAGTACCGGTACCTGCACGCCCGCGGCAGCACCCATAGCAGTCGAGGTACCGGTACCTCCTCCCTGTTTGTGAGCTCATCGTCCATGATCCATCAACTACGGAGTAAACAATTTCCACTCACCATTCCAGCCCTGCCAGACTGATTCTCATCTTTGCCTTGTCAGATCGATGATTTACCATGTCTCTGATGATTGACAATCCCCGCCAGGAGCAACCCCAGCTCGTCTCGCTTCCATAGCCACTTGGTCTGGATCCTTCCGGTGGCTGGTTGCTTTGGTACCCATTGACTGTCCCGTGATTCCAAGAAAAGCTCCCCGTTTCTAATCGGAACGAAACTGGGTGTGGCTTATGGGACACCAGCAGCGCCATACCCAACTAATGCGCTACTCCAGGTTACGCAGTCCTGCAGAGATCGAAAGCCATGGCTCCATGCTCGATCATTTGATGATGAGTGCACTCGAGACTGGAGAGAATCAGAGTCGTGACTGGGTCACTGCCCCCCTCGTAAGGCTGACCCTGGTGCAGGGGGCCGTTTAAGTCGTCGATGATATCACAGGTACCTAAGAGTTCTGCTGTTCTCCCCTGTCTCTTATCGGACCGTCTTATGACTTGCTGCTATGTCATTGGTCTACCATGTTCCAACTGAAGAAAAGGGAAATGAATTGTTTGATATCGTGCCTCTTGTGGACGCGAGAGGGAAAAAATAAAGAGGAAAGACAAAAGACTGCTAGATTGATATCAATGGTTCCCTCCGTACGGTTCCTTGAATGAATCTTGCAACTCCTAACTCGGTGGACATCCTCGCTACCTGTCTAATCTTCTAGCTTTTCCTCGGCGTCTATGCAAGATGCGTTGTTTTTCTCTTGCTAACCTCGCCTTCCTCATGCTGTTCCGTCCGCTTTCTTTTCTCTGCCTGCAACGCAGCTCCACCAGCAGGCTCCTTCTCTTTTCCTTTCTTTGCTTTTCCCCTGGCTTCCTTGGCCGCTTTCTGTTGCTCGACGCGCCTCCTCATCTCCTGAGCGGACATGGTGCGGGCTTTGCACCGGCCTTGTCCTTGCTGTTGATGAGCGTTCGAGTCCGACTCTTCCGGCGTTGAGGGTCCATAGTCATCATCGTCCGTCCCCGGGCCGAGATCAGGACTGGATTGTTGACAATATGGGCATTCACATTTCCGACCTAGCAACCGAAGGGCGTCGCGATGGGTCAATTGCTGATATCGGTAGCCAATGGTGATTTCCTCGTCTTTAGAGATGTTCCGATCGGCCCATACTATGACCCTGTTACGGATGGTGCTATCAAACGCCCACTCGGCATTGTTATGAGGCCGACAACTGTGGTTGAACAGAGCCAAACCGGGAAAGAGGTAGAGGGTGCGGAATGATGGGTCATGCTTCTCCAAGGTATCTCCTTTTTCTATATTTTGCATCTGTGTCTCTATGGTTCCGGGGTCTTTGTGGTGTTCCCTTTCCATCGTGTCACCATCTTGGCGACGGCTTTGGTCCCAAGGAACTGCGCTCAACAGCAGTTTTCTCAAAACCATTTGGATGACCCACGTGTCGAAGGTAAGATCGCAGAAGATATTGACTCCCAATTGAAGCAGAATATCAAATGGCACCTTGATATTCGCCGCCAACGTGAAAGGGAATCGGTCCCCTTCCCACTGCTCTTCCCCTTCCAGTGGGAGGAGCTCGTCGATCTCATGAGCCAGCAAGTGCGGATTCCCTGTTCTCTCTCGCCGCAGGAGGGTCACGTCAAATACTTCTCTGAGGAGCAAGCTCAGGACGGTCCCGTGGATCTCGTTATTGTGTGTCAGATACTTTGGGTGTTGCTCATCACCAGCGCGATATGTATTCCAATTAGGTCGCATCGCGTCATGCAACCATTTCCAATTCTTACCGCAGACGCGGAAATGGTACAGCTCTCGGGCGATCTCCAGACAGCTCTTGCTTGCTGATTCTTCATTGGAAGGTGCGGCAGGGCAGAAGACAAGCGGCTCTGCATCGTCTTTGTTATTGAAGACACAAGCACAAAAATCGCGATGGCATCCGTCGGAAATGTCTTTGCGTACGCCCTCGCTGAACCTGTCCGGAGGCTCGCTGACCTCGGACTTGCAATTATCGCATGGTGGCAAAGTAGGCTGACCTCTGTAGGCATCATCGGGTCTTCTGATATTCAAATGGCCTCTCATGGATGGCTCGTCTGCGTAGATGATCTGTCCCCGGCGAATGTCCTGGGTTGCATAGACGCCCAATTCTTTCTTCGTTCCCCCTTTCGGCCTTACCTCACATCGTTTCCACGGCATCTGGTTGTTGGCAATGAGTTCCTGATTGAGCCGTGCCAGAAATGACGGGCTGGTACGATCCACGTCTTGCACACTGTAAGGGTATGGTCTTCCGCCAATATTTCCTGCCCATCTCTCATAGTAAAAAAGGGCGCCGTTGTTCCGTCTCCTTTCTTCCCATAACAAGACCCGGCGGTCCGTCATGTCCATCCTCTTCTCAAAGGCCCATCTATCGCGATATGGCATGGCTACTCTCTGGAGAAGATAGCCTTCCATGATCTCGTAGTCATGCCAGCATTGCAGGGCCTTGAGACTTAGACTCATAATGTTATGGAGTGCTTTGCGCAGCGTAGGAACGAAGTAATTGACGCCATTAGCATCGCGCATTTTCTCCAACGCCGGGGCACGGGAGCCATCGTCGTCGGGAGGGATGTGCAAGATGTGTTGCTCGATGCTGTGCCACACTCGAGTGTACAGGCCCGGTTGCCGGTTTCGAGCAAAAGGGTCGCAGAGAATCTCGCAAAGAAGCTGGGCGCGATAGGCGTCCCCCAAAGCCAGGTCAAGATACCCCATCTGGTAAAAGAGATAGGACCGACTGACCCAGTAAGCAGGGTTGTATGGACTTAGCAGGATGGCCCAGGTATACATGTCCAGCGGTCTCAGGCGGCCATGTCTGGTGATCTTCAGCATGTAATCCTCCTTTCGTGGAATGCCCCAGGATGACAGGTCCGTTCGACGAAGAAAAGTGGCCTTGACTTCGTCGGGCGACGCTCGCCGCCGTTCATCGTCATATAGGCGTCTACGAAGTTCCGCGGCCTTTCCCTTGGTGTCCAGCCCTCGTCTTTGTAGCTCATCTTGGAGACGAGCGATAGTCCAGTACCGCGCCTTCAACACGTCATGACCCTCAATCTCGATCTTGACATCGTTGCCATCCTCTCCTGTTGCGTGCGCCTCCCCCTCCTCCTTCTGCGGTCCAAATATTTCCTCGTACGACCAGCCTTCCTTGGTCTGCCCATCGTCCGCGAGTTTCATCTGGGCATCCTCATCCCAATCCTCGTCAACAATGGGCATCCTGTGGTTGCGCATCAGATCCTCATAAACATTCAAGGCCAAGACGTCGAGCGTGTCGCGGAACTTGTTGTCAGCCTCGGTTCCGGGACGTGGGAAGGGATGGTCTCCCGTCTCTTTCAGCTTTTTTCCGAGGACGGAGTCTGGTAGCGACCACAGACGATACGCCGTCTTGGTGTCCTCGTGAGTTGGATATGGACCCCATTCCACCTCGTCAAACAGGTCTGGCCGCTCCGGATAGGGAGGAGGCCTGATAATCTCGGGTGGATGTTCACGCCACACCTGTTCAGTCCAGTCTCTTGACATCCCTTGGTTCAGGTGGGTAGGAAAGAGACAAAGTCTGACGAGTCAGATATGCTCAAGCGAAAACTGCCAGATTCTATATCCTTGAAGTCTGTGAGACACGATCTGTAGAGTGATGGAGACCAGCAAGCTGACATGTCGAAGAAAGAAGGGGGGGGGGAAAAAGAAACACACTTTATACGTCTTCCGTCTCACATATCTACCAGAGGAGAAGACAGAGAAATAAATAGAAAATCGCGTGACAAAATACAACCAATTGTGAGGCAGGAAGCGTGTGCAGACAGTGAATGGAGACTGACAGTCAAAGAAAGCCAGCTGTTCATTTTCTTTGTCAATAGGCACATATAGTTAGAGAGATATCTGCTCTCTTTATTTATGCGACCAGAACTGGACATTTGTGGGGACAGACCAAGATTGCATTCATACAATTGAGCAAATCAATCAATAGAGCCTGGTCACCAAAATCCACAGCTGTGATTCAGAGTTTGTTGTAGTTGTCAGCTGTCTCCTGCATACTTTTTTTTTAAAGCAATGCATGACATCAATGAGTTTTCATGAACCAAGTACCAGTGTTAAAGGATGAGAGAATTTCAATTTGGCAACTGCCCATATTAGTTGCGCAGTCAGTTATTGTATCATAGCAATGTCGATCTGAGAAGACGGTAGTCCTTGGTACCTAAGAAGGTAGTTTTGCTCTTAGGGCACTGGTGGAGACTTTAAGGTCCTGCAGGTCATCCATGGATCAGACTAATTTAATTAATCTTCTGTTTACGAGCAGTTAGCCCTCATTAGGTAAAATTAATTCGTATTTCGTACAGTACAGTCAGCTCAGCCGCGATCACGGTGGCCTGTGCGGTGACTCGCAGCTCTCATCCCTTCTTGCGTCGCTTTGAATTATTATTGTTGAGATTGTGGTCACTATTTTGCTGCCTGCTGAAGGTGGAGCGCTGACTGGGGCATTTTTCTTCAACGATCGTGGCGCAGAACGAGCAACGCGGGTGTGGAGATAAGTGACGCAGCCTGATCGCTCGAACCCGCCGCGCAGACCTCCATCGCCTGCTCCTTTGGTGAGACAGAGCTGTTTCTTGCAAGTCGCCAGCCTGCAAGCTCGAGCAAGAGACGTTGTGTTGCTGCCGTCTATCTCAGTCAACCAGGTGGGGGATCACGTTGAGCTGGTCAGCAGACCTGCTGAAACTCCCTCTTTGCGCCCATCGCCTCGTCCAAGCTATTACCCTTCGCAACAGATGCTGAACAATCGCTTGCGAGCACCCAGGCATGTACGGATCGCAGCCTCCTCCACACCATCCTCCCGGCGCATATCACCATAGTCCTGGTCCGCCGCAGCCAGAATGGCGTCTGCCGCCGTCGTCGCAAAGTCATCAACCATGGCATTCTCAATCATCCTCAGCCCCTCCTCCGCCGCCGCCGCCGCCGCCGCCTCCTCCCCCAACATCCTCAACGTATAACCCAAGTGTATATGGGCCGATGCCAGGTGGGCAGCCTGCTGCTGCAACGTCTTCCCATTCGAGTATTCCTGGAGCGCCCGCGAATCTAGATACGACGACCTGGGGAGTGCGGTATAATCAGCACCATCAGCGTCCTACTCCGCCGCCATTGCCGGTAGGTGAAAGGACATCTGCCTTTCCTTTATGTCACAGGAACTGACAAGTACTTTGACCTAGCCTCGCCCTAGCAGTTCTACGGGCAACCATCACCCCCCTCCACAGACGCAGTCGCCCAACGCACCGCCCTGGACGACGGCCCAGACTGACAACCTGTTGTCTCCAACAAGTCCCAGCCAGCCATGGGGAACAGATTCCAGCTACGGCCAGCCACCAGCACCACCACCGCCGCCACCTCCTAAGATCCCACCAGTTTATCAGAACGAGACGCAGCAGAGCGCCCAAGTCTGGCAGCAACCGTATACCTCACAATACTCAAGTCACCCTCCAACCCATCGCTATGATCCTCCGCAGCAGCAGCAAACTTCCCAACCACCACCGGCTTCACAGGGCTCTGGTCACGTAGCCCAGACCACCACCAGCTTTGGTCAGCATAATACAGCTCCTTCTCTGGCGGAACATCCATTGCGGCCACCTCCCCCTCCCCCACCCCAGGGACAGCCGCCTTCAAGTGCAATCTCTGGCCCTCCTTCATATGGATCCTCGCAACCGACTGCATCAGTGCCGGCGAAGCCAGAATCTCCATCTTCCGCACCAAGTGCGTCAGCCTTTGGTGGGGGGAGGCCATCCGATTGGGAACATCTCTCTTCTGTGCCGGGAGAAGTCGATGACACTGCTGCTTTTCCGTCAAAGACGCCTGATTCACAACGACCTGGTTCTACAGCACCGGCTGGACCTCCGTCCACCCAACAGCAGTCAGCAGTCACTTCGACCGCTCCACAGCAGACTACGCAGTCTGAGTGGTCACCGTCCCCTGTTGATAATGCCGACACCAAGCAGCAAGAGCCCCCTCGTCGAGATGACAGCGTCGTGTCTGCAGAGGATTACTCTGAGACCATCGACGGCGTCATTCAAGCTTGGTCTCAACCCATCTCGCCAGACACTAAGCCTCAAAATGAAATCAATCAAAGCCCCGTCTCGCCGGCAGAACAGCCTCCTTCCCGCACCGAAATGAGGGCAGAGCAGGCTTCCACACAAGGGAAAACAGCTGACGAACCCCAACCGGCATCACCGATCAAAAAAGAATCAGGGACTGAGTCTAGTACCTACCCTGCGCAAACAACCACTGCAACCACAGGACATACCGATCCCAAGCAAGAGACAGCTCCCTTGCAAGTAAAAGTTGTCGATCCATATGAAGATCTCGACCCGTGGTTCAAGTCTTCTTTGGTCCGTTACGCTACGATGCTTCGGAAGGAGGCTGTCGCTGAATCGGACGAAGAACGATACAAAATATTTACAAGGTTTATGGAGAAAGAAACGAAGCTTCGTGAAGTTTTATATAATATTGATCCTCGAGCTAAAGATAACGCTCCATCTGGGACGATTGAACCTCCTCCCCGTTCCAAGTCTGTGGGTGCCTCGCCCACGGTCGAGTCCGGCCTGATACCAGTGGAGTCTGAGAAGCGCCCTGAACTTGCCACGCTTGAGACCATCCCATCACAAACAGTTGACGAGTCTGAAGGGATCGCTTACAGCCCTGGCGGAAGGCCGATACTGTCTGGTCAGGCAACGACAGCAAGCTCTGCAAACCGGCAGGGCCTTCACCGGTCTGCTACTAATCCCACTGGCCGTTCTCAAAGCGCGGGCTTGCCCTTGTCTGGGAACCAACAAGCTGGCCTTCATGGCGTTTCCCCGTTTTCTAGCTCAGATGCCGCCCGGCGGTCGACGTCAGTCCCACCTCCTTCGACGAGCAGGCCGTCGGCAACACAGCCCATGCCTCCTCTGGTATCTCAGCCTCCACAGCCAGCTTACGTTCCTTTTCGGTATTCAGAAGGGCCCCAGCGAGGATCCGACAATCTGATTATCGATCGACCAGCTTATCAAGCTTATTCAGCTCTACGACAGGCATCTGCGGAAAGTGGTCGAGCAATGTCCTCCATTCCCGCATCCCAGGCTCGGCCCAGAGCAGGAACTTTTGGTACTTCTCCGGTGCGAGCCGAACACGACGAGACGTTCCTTGGCGTCATCCGGGAGAAAGGCGTGTCGTACCGCGGGCAACGGGCCGAAGTTGGATCTGGCGGCGTCATCGAAGAATTGGGTGCTTTGATTCCAGTTCCCTTCCCGGAGCGGAAAGAGAGTCCTGAAACTGCTGCTATCAGGAAGGAGATGGAGAAGTTCTCTGATGATTTCCGTTACATTCAAGAGACAGTCGACAACTGGGAACAAGCTGCAAAGGAGCGACGTGCCAAGCTGGACAAGGAACGCGCTGCACGCCAGGAAGAATCAGAGAAGCATATCGATGCGCTTTTCAATGACAAGGAAATCGGTTACGCGGATATCAACCAGCTAGAGGACGAATTCCGGCAGACTGAAGCCCGGACTCAACTTGACGAAGAGAGGGAAGAGCTCAAAAGCTTCATTCGGAAAGTATTCAACCCGCTCGATACACGGCTGAAAGAGGAGATTGTCGAGTTGAAAGCCTTGTACCAGAGGGCGCTTGACGAACTATACGCTGAAAGCAAAAAGATCGGCGAGAAGGGTGCGGCAAGGTACCAGCTGTCCCATGCCATGAAGACAGTCAATGATCTTTCATCCAAGTTGGAGACCCGCTTCCAGAAGCGGTTGGATATTGCCTTGGACCGGGAACGACGGCGAAAGAAGGCCGAGAGACGGCCACTCGTTTTCCTCGGCGACTCTCCTGCTTTGAAGAAGTTAGACGGCGATTTTGACCGGATGGAGAAACGGAACATCGTGGAAGCGGCCAAGGACCGAGATGAGCGGGCGAACAAACTGATGGATGCGTTCGATGAGGCGATCATGTATGGACTAGGTGACCACCAGAGACTTCTCGACGATATCGCAGCGAAGACGAAGAAGCTGGACGCAGGAATGATCGAGAACAGTGATCTTTCCGAATCTGACGTAGAGCTGCTGCTGAGATCGGTGTCTGCGCTTGTCAAGCTTCTTCGGGAGGATTCCGAGTCGATGCTTGAGAGTTTTGGAACGGCGGATTCGGAGCTGAACGATGCGGACTACAGCGTTTCGGTCGCAGAAGCTCGGTATTCGAACGCGAGTGCTGATGTGTTTCGACGACTTGACGAGGAGAAGAGCAAAGAGGACGCCAAGATCCGGCAAGATCTGGACTCCAAGCTGGAAAGCGTGAAGAAGGAACCATCCGAGATTGCGGCCAAGATTGATTCTCTCTTGGAGTCGATGGGCAAGGAGCCGGGTCCGGGATCGGGTCCATGGAGGCGACCAGCTGCAATTGCTCCATCACCTGCTGTTTCTGAACCAGCCCCTGCAGCGCATCCGGGCGAGGTCCTGATGCCGGGACCACGTCCTGCCTCTGTGCACCTGGTGCCGGATGAAGATCTGGAGCAGAAAGAGCGTCTCCGAAAGGCGCTCGAAGACGCGAAGAGGCGGAATGCGGCGAAGAACTTTACTACTTAATAAGTCCCGTTTGCTTGGACGTGTTTTCTCATGTATCTTTTACTTTTTTACCTACTGTTCTGACGGGAATACAGTCACGACTAGTTGGACTGAATGTAATGAGCTGACGAATCTCCTTGACTGTGGTATATACACGTTAGTGACTGAAGATAATAATTTTGATTTTGTGCTGAGTCATATCCTGTACTGTATATAATCACCAACATGATGAATTTGAGATACACTGTACGTAATGTACTCAACAGAGTGGTTAATGGAGTAGTTAATGCTAGTTTATAACGTATGTCCCGGTAGCTGCTATCGACTGAATTGTTCAGATTTTCTAAATCGTAAAAGTTCGGTTCAAAGGACCACAACAAACAAAATACATACATGTGCATACAGGAGACCCTACAGATAGATTTTTATGTCCATGTTAATTAAATTAATTACGTCATCTTTGTCTTTCCTTCTCCCAATCAATGTATTCTCGATTCATTATCATTATTTTGAGTTGATGTGGACAAGGACTTGTGGGAGCACTGAGCAAACTGCCTGGAATCGGCGCCTACATGAATGCAGTTAGACACATCCATGATACTTTTTATTTCACTCGATGAATTGAGCCTTTGTCCTATACTATAGGTTAGGTGATGCATCCCGTGACTTGCCCGCTATGCAGGTCGAAAGTGTATGTATGCACATGAGTAATATTCGACCTAGGTACCTAGGTAGGTTGATCAACGGTGCACCACAAAGTTACCTTTCTACCTACCTACCGAACCAACAACTAACTAACAATGAGATTAAATAAATTAAATTCATCCAACAATGAAAAAAATTCAGTCTCGTGGCTTTTTTTTTCTGTTCCCCCGCAGTTTGGGGATAGATTGGTTGGATAGGACGTTCTCATTTTCGATCGCTCCGGCGCTTATTGATTGGCGCATCGCATCGCTGTCGTCGATTATTACCTGCTTTCTGCAGTTGTGGAGGTAGGTTGTGCACTGCCTTTTTTCTTTCTTTCTTTCTTTTCTTTATTGATTGATTGATTGACATGCACGTATTGCAGCTGTGCCTCCATCCGAATTTTTCTTTAGTTCGAGCCATTGCTTACCATCCGGCATCGACCCAGGAAATGTTGGTTTGGTCAGATCACTTGCTGCATGCTGTATGTTATTACCCTGGAATTGCTGTAGCGAAGATTCGTCACCTCGCTCAGGCTGACCTGGTCATTCTTCTGGGGGCAAAAAAAAAGATTGGTGGAAGATCAGCTCCTTCAAGCCAACAGCCAAGAGCTTCTTCGATAGCCATTGCTTTCAGCCAACCCACTAACCCTAGATCTCTACTAGGCTGAAGAAAGATTGCCAGTGGTGATGCTGATAATACTGCCCGAGCACAGCGACAAGGGTTGTTCGATTAGCCGCTTCCATGACCACACAGGCGGGACACCCCGACCCCCTGCCAGGGTCAGTGCAGCTTCTCCACGAGCTTGTGCCATGAGCTGCCGGCTTGCTCGCGTGAGCTACCCTGGTAAGTCTCCGTACCGGCAGCAATGGTGATAACGATGTTAATGACGGTAATAATGATGATGACTCAGGGGCTGAGAGTCCTATCCAACGGCGCAGCGAAATCCAGTCTGACTGGTTGAGGCTGAAGAGAGCAGCAGCAGCAACAGCAGCAGCAGACAATCCTTGTGCGAACACCATCTCCATCATTGATCACCTGCAGGCACTCTCCAAGGCTGCCTTTCTGCCTTCAGGTTCTGTTGGGCAGGTGGCATGCTGCTGACAGAGTGCTTTTGCTCCGGAAAATCTTCATCCCAAATCCACCCTCCACACTCCCCACCCAACATGATGCCGGCGGCGGTTAAGAGTGATTTCTTGCAGAATATAATAATGGAGATGAAGAGGAGTTCCCATGAAATGTTCCCACAGTTCACCGCCTGCGGCGTTGAACAGCCCCAGCGGCACTCGTCTGCGGCGCAGCGCGGACACGACGTCGACAATTCAACTTCGGTGTCTGGATACGCTATGAATTCATTCCATTTCGACTACGGAGTATTACTCCGTACCTAGTTAGCCATGATGGGGCGGTGTTCTGCGTGCGCCATAGCGGTCCCACCGTTCAGTCGGGATGCCTCCATCGCCAACCGATAGTTAGTTAGCTCGGATCCCCCATGCCCAAGACGACCCACTCAGCCAGCTAACCCATAGTGTTCTGCGCCAGCTCACTAGCTTGCAGGGGGTTCACCGTTTTTTAAGCATGTGCGCTTGGCCAAAGCCCGTGCACTGCATCTATCAGGACTCAGTACGGAGTAGGAGAACGAACTACCGGCTATTAAGGAACCGGCCCCATGGCTGTACGGAGCAATCTGTATATCATCCAGCGTTGGAGACTTGGATCCACTAACGAATTGCTAAGAAATACAAACTAATTCGGCCAACAGACCCGTTCTTCCGGAACAATATGGCACGAAAAAAGAGGACCAATTAGCCGCGGGTTCTTTGGAAGCTCGTCCAACACTTGGGTAGACTGCAGGTAAGACGACTTGAAAGAAGTCTGCACCAACATCGTCAGCCGTATGACCGCATCTGTCTGGTCTTTTGCTTGCGCCGCGGAGAGAGAAATCGATATCTCTCGTCCAGTGCCTCTCCATCGTCGACCGCACTGTCTGCCTTGGATCACACGCCGCGGCGCATAGTCCACTGTTTGCAGAGAAAAAAACGAGAATTCCCCTTCCCTTTGATTTCCTCCGGACGAGATCTGGCCCTTGACTAAGACGTTGTCTAGTAAATCGCCGGCAGCTCTAATTGGCTGCGCATCTGACGGTTGATATGGATACATCGCGGCTCGGAATGCCGTACCGTCCCCTGGTCCCTTTTTTTGTTTAAAGTTACGTTTTCTTTGGTTCCTCGATCCCCCGTCTCTCTGCCACCTTCTCTCCTCTGCACTATGGTACCACACGCCGGTGCCATGATTTTCTCTATCCCTGTTGCTTTCTTTCATTCCCCTAAGCGCCGCCTATCTGGGTGCCGCATTGTGGCCCCTTGGATTATGGCACAGGGGCCCATGACTGCCTTTATGGATGTTGGCCACATTGCAGTCATCCATAAATTCTGCGGCGAAGCAGTGCGGCTGTTGAAATTGGTCTTCTTGCTGTCTGCTGATGGAGCAGTTGCTCATGTTGTGCCGACGTTGGTTCAATGGATCCAAGGTGCCCACCGTCATCCGTGGTTCGGAAGAAACTCTATATAAACATTTCCCTTGGACCCTCTCCGGAACCGCAACTGACAGCGCACCTTGGCCATTGATCTTCGGTGTCTATGTCTCCCCCTACGAAACAGTTGGGCAAGCTCTCCATTGGCGAGAATATGCCAACCACCCGTTCCGAGGTTCGGAGAGCCCAGGACGTGGAGGCCGCTCGTCGCGACGAGGAGGACGACGACGATTTCTCCGATGACCCTCCGGGAGATGAGAGCGATGAGAGTGAAGAAGAGGAGGAGGAAGAGGAAGATGATGACTGCCAGCTGGCATCCATGGTCCGGGCGAGGTCCGAGATCGTCTATGATCTTGAGAGCCTGGAAATGGAGTCGCGTGCCCGCGCGCTCGCCGGACTGACCGGACAATTCGACGTGGTATACTGCCGTGAGGCCCCAGGAATATACGAATTCCAGCTGGCGGAACGACCACGGGTTCGCATCCGCGCCGGGGTGCCCCAATGCACCTGCTCAGAGTTTGAGAACCGGCCGGACATTGCTTGTCGGCACATATTTGTAAGTTTCTTCTCGGCTTTGTCGCTATGTGGGGATGCTGATGGATTTTTTTGGGATAGTGGCTTGTGGATCAGCTGTACGACAGCATCTCCCCCCGAACGCCTCCTCCTGGGGTGCCCCTATCCAGTGATGGATTCTCTCCAAAACTTCCGCCTCTCGATGAGCTTCTCCGCAATAGATTGGAAGCTGTAGCGGAAGATTTGAACTGGCCGTATGTCCCAGGCATCGCGTCACCGTCTGGGTCCGATCCCGAGCACGGCGGAATGACCCGCCAGGACAAGGTTCGCGACATCTTGTCTGCTTTCAGCGAGATCACCCTCCCGGAGGAGTTCCGCCTAGATCTTGCGGAGACGACGGGCCAGCACCTGACTCCCGAGCAGTGCATTGTGCAAGGTGACCTGGAAGCGACGCTGTTCCGGCTCGCGGTGCACGACGACAATGTGTATACGAGTCTTCGCAAAGCCATGCCGGCAGGCGCGTGTGCGGGTATTTACTTCGACAAGGTCCAGAAACGATCGCGGGACCTCCTCGCTCAATTCGATGTCTACCGCGAGACGGGGCGACTCCCCGTGGGGGAGCGACCGCTAGACGTGAAAGAAGTTGCGCGGCGGCTGCGACAAAACGTCGACCGCATCCAGGCCAACGTGTCGGTTCGAGTGCCATACGGCAGCAAAGACGCGGCGCAGGCCCTCGTGACGGTGCTTCAGGAAGTCAGCGCGCGTAACATCGATGCGTTTGAGGGCAACCGATGGGGTCGTGTTCCGCCGCCGGGCGAAGATGAAGACGATCGGAATCTGTACGAGCAGCTGATCGGGCAGGCCAACGAGGCGGAGGGTCTGTTTGTGCTGGATGCGCTGGAGGAGCTACCGTCGTCGGTTCTGCGGCAGTATCTGCCCCATCTGAACGAGATTCTTAACAAGATCGAGATCAACCGGGCGCCGTCGCCGTACGTGCTGAAGCTGAAGTCGTTGATCCACGATGCCGAGTCGGGTGTGACGTCGAGGGCGAAGAGGCCAGCGACTGCGCAGGCTGGAGGGAGCCAGAAGCGGACAAGATGATCGACTCATGCCAGCATTTTCATGCAGCGATTTTTCACATCCTAAATAGATTCAGTGTGATACTTCTCTGCGAGTTGGCCATATCACGCCATGTCATTACATTCTTCTACTTGTCACTCATTTGATCAGGCTGGACCAGCTTTCAACCTTCTCTGTCTATAGTTGAGATATTTTTATTCATACGTTCCTTTACTACAGTGCACTGCAGTACAATGAGAGTCTCAGTCTTTGTCATGAACACCTTTAAGCAAGAATGTCCTTCGTATTGTACAGGTGTAGAATATGACAGAGTACCTTACTCAGTAGGTTGTAAATAACAATAATTTTCATATAATGCTCGCCTAACTAACTAGCTGGTTAATTAATTGATTAATTAAATAGGTACGAATTGTATACTCGATTCGAAGAACTTAGTGTTCCTACTCCGCACGGACGGAGTACAGAGTAGGTATGTAGCCGGCCCCACATCCCTTTCCGTTTTTGCCACCAGCCGGCTAGTGCGCAGGTGGCTTGTGCTTCTGCCTTATAAGTCATTATCCACGAGGCGTTTTCCAACAAGTAGCGGGCCGGCTGGCTCAATTGGTAGAGCACCTGACTACGGATCAGGAGGTTGCAGGTTCGAGTCCTGCGTCGGTCAGCACAAAGCCCCCATTTCATAGGAGTACAAAGCACCCATGAAATGGGACGTTTCTTTTTAGCTTTTTAGTTCCTTTGAAACTCTTCCTTTTTTTTCGCGAGAGTAGATTTTTTTTTTATCTCTATTTGGTTTTAATGGTTCATTTTATTTATTTACTGCTTGTGAATGTAGTATTCCTACTTATCCTTTTAGTTCTTTTTTTTTTAAAAAAAAAAAGGAAAATTCGCTTTTCGAGCCGCTTTTCGTGTTTACTGGATGAATGGGCTGGTGGAAATATACAAGGTTGTGTCGTAAATATATATCTGCCGGATACAACATTTACTTCCACGATGTTTCTCAGGATAATACAGGCTTATCCATAGTAAACCTCTGCTCATCATTCATACGATGGTTAACAATTGTTGACATAATATGTATTTACAGTACAGCGCATATATACCTATCAGTATACGGCAAATTACGACAAATCCAGCACAACCCGCCCCTGCAACTCCCCCCGGTTCATCCGCTCAAACACACTGGTCAGATTCTCCATCTTCTCAATCTGATAGTGCGCCTTGATGACCCCCCGCGCCGCATACTCCATCGTCTCCAGCGCGTCCTTGCGATTGCCAACCGCTGACCCCGTGATGGTGTACTGTCCCGCGATTATCGGGCCCGGCGCTGCGCTCGCTATCGGGACCAGCTCGCCCTCGGGGATCCCGACGCAGACCACCGTCCCGTTGAACCGGAGGAATCCCACCGACTGCGCGTACGCGGCATTGGCCGCCGTGCACACGAGGACTGCGTGCGCCCCCAGCCCGTCGCTCGTCAGCGACTTGACGTGGCTGGCAATGTTATCCTTGGGACCAGAGAACTTGGTCACGTCCACAAAGTGCTCTGCGCCCGATGCCCTGACCAGCTCCTCCTTGCTGCCGTGGTCGATTCCGATCACCCGGAACCCCATGCCCCTGCTGGCCAGCTGGCAGGCGAGATGGCCCAGGCCGCCGCCCGCCCCGGAGATGACCACCCAGTCGCCTGGCTGGGCCTTGCTGCGTTTGAGGGCCGCGTAGACGGTGACGCCGGCGCAGAGCATCGGTGCGGCATCGGCCGAAGACAGACCGTCGGGGATAGGCGTGACATAGTGGGCTGGGCCCAGGACATACTGCTGGAAGGTGCCGGGAGTGTAGTATCCCGAGATCTTCTGGTTGAAGCAGAGGCCATCCGAGCCGGAAAGACAGGCCACTGCAGAAGTCCAGATGTCAGCAGCAGCTTAGATGCAAAGAGAGTGCCGCGACAAGCTTACAGCAATTGGCACAAGCGCTAGCAATCCATTTGATTCCGACCCTGTCGCCGATCTTCAGACGGGAGGACTCCGTGCCAGGACCTAGCTTGACGACGTGGCCTACGCCTTCGTGGCCACCTACCTGGCCGGGTTGGGTTGGGTGGGGGAGTGTTTTCCACTGTCGAGACGTCAGCACTAGCTACCTACTTAGGTAGATAGATGTTTCTCCCATACCGTGTTTGTCATGACACCCAGGTCGGAATGACAGACGCCGGAGTGTGTCCTAGTCCGCATCAATCAGCATGTGCTACGTCTTGCTATGTCTTACTGTCAGATGAACGTACAGATTGATAAGCACCTCCCCGTACCCCGGCTCGGGAACATCGAGCTCGACGATCTTGGTCGAGATAGACCCTGGCTTGTCATAGATGACGGCCTTGTACTTTCGAGGGATTTCGGGCTTGGGCGAGTTTCCTTTTGCGATCATGTTGATTGAAATCGAAATCGAACTTTGTAGATACAGATCTTTTTCGGAAGTTATAGAGTTGCCGGCTCAGAGAAGTGAACCAGCACCTTTGTGTATAGTATATACAGTATGTAGTATATAGTATATAGTATGGTATTGCGTTAGGAACGCATATGTCATATATCAAGCAGACGGAATTTGGCCGAGTCCCGTCTAACGTATCAGGTATCAGGATTATGTTACGTGAACCCCTCCTCTTTTCCCCATTCCATCTACCTCGGATACTTAATACCTAAATTAAGGTTGTTGATCTCTCCGCGGGAGGAAAAGAGAGAGAGGGGGGGGGGTAGAAGGCGGGGAGGAGGTGACGTTGGTGACAAGCCATGGACATGACACGGACACGACAAGGACTAGACAAGGATAATACTTGGAAGTTGATGCGTCCGTGATTGTTAATCGTGGGGAATGGATGGATGATCGGCTCGAGTCTAGAGCGGAGGGAAAAGGCGGGGTTTGCGGGGAAGTAGTCGAACTAGGGAGGTAGATAAGACAGTCCAGATATGTACTGTACCTAACTCTAGGTAAATGATCGATCGCATGGAGGTTGGTGGAAAGGAACACTATAGCTGTCAGTCAGAGAAAGAAAGGAGTGCTTCTTGACCTGCCTAAGTAAGGTAGTGCTGTAGTTGACATGTCTAGTAGACGTGCAGTCGAGGATATTGTCCTTGTCATGTGTTCAGGTGACAAAGTCCAATAGGAGAGAAGTCAGGACTCAGTCACGAGATCCATGGACCTCAGACTAGGACCTGTATGCGATGATATACAGGCCTATATATTTTTCCAGGTGGTTTTTTCTCAAGTAACTATCTATACGTACCAATCGCGATGCCGGCTAAATACGTCAATTAATTAGCCTGCCAATTCGGCATAATGGCTGCCGACAAGAGATGCAACTAAGCAAGCAATCTACTTTCTGTCATATTTTTTTCTTGTCTGATAATCACGAACTTGAGATCTTCCATCTTGACAATATATTACAGGTTAATATTACCTCGACGATATCTTTTAGAGGAATATCTATAGATCGAATTCTCGTCCAATCACCTCCGACCGTGATTCTCTCCATCTAGACAGCCCCGCAGTCGCATACAGCAGACAGAACAAGACAGGGCAGAACACTGCAAAGTACATGGCATAACTCCTCGCCATGCCTATCCCCATCGTCGACTCGCACATCCACCTCTTCCCCCAGACGCACCTCTCGACCCTGGCCTGGCATGGCCCGGACAATCCTCTGGGCGCGCAACACTCGATCGACGAGTACCGCGCTGCCACCCAGTCCGTCCCGACTTCTCCTGATCAGACGGCTCCGTCGACATCGGCATCATCGACATACCTCCGTGGTTTCGTCTTCCTCGAGACGGATCGCATCTCGTCGCTCGACGAGAACGACGCTGCACGCGGCTGGACGCACGCGCTGGATGAATTGTCCCTCCTAACCCGCATCGTCCTGGGTGAGCCTATCCCCGGCGAAGGCCACCAGCCTGAAGATCGCTCGCTGTGTCTGGGCATCGTGCCCTGGGCGCCTGTCCCTGCAGGCCCAGACGCGCTGGCCCGGTACATGTCTTTGGCCAAGCAGCGCGCCCGCACAGACGAGGTCTGGAAGAAGGTCCGCGGTGTGCGGTACCTCCTGCAAGACAAGCCTGCGGGAACGATGTTTGCGCCGGGGTTTATTGACGGCCTGAAGTGGCTGGGTCGGCAGAAGCTGGTGTTTGATCTCGGGGTTGATGCCAGACAGGGTGGGCTCTGGCAGCTGCGGGAAGCAGTGGAGATGATGCAGAAAGTCTACGACGAGAGCAAAGAGGAGGAGAGGGTTGTTTTTGTCATCAGTGAGTTTTTTTCCCTTTGTTGATTCCAATGTTCAGCCTGACACACGTCAGATCACCTCTGCAAACCAAACCTCCGTCTCCCGTACTCCTCTCCCGAGTCGATCACGACCCATCCCGACTTCATAGAATGGAAAACGCTCATTACCGCCATGGCCGCACACCCAACGACCTACATGAAGCTGTCCGGGGCGCTCTCGGAGCTGCCACCGCTGTCACCCACCCCCGAACCAGACATCGACGCGCTGGTCGACCGGCTGCAGCCCTGGACGGACGCCGTGTTCGACGCCTTCGGGCCGGAGAGAGTGCTGTTTGGGTCCGACTGGCCTGTTTGCAATATAGGAGGAGGCGGGAATACGGTCTCGTGGCAGAGATGGAGGACGATAGTCGAGGCCGTGTTGGACAGGCGTGGATTGACCGACGACCAGAAGGCGGGAGTTTGGGGAGGAGTTGCAGTAAAAGCATACGGGCTAGAAATTTGATCCATAGATAAGAGAGAACAATGCTGGTATCCATTGTTTGTGCATATATATAGCAGGTAGTATATAGATAGAAAATGATACTATATGCATCCAACATAACGACCGATATATACAGCATCAAGGAGAAAGAAATCACCGTAACTGTGTCATAGCATTTCCATTTTGCCGAGACAGATTCTATATTTCTACTGCAGGTTGACAAATGCTCCTCCGTCCACGAGGATCTGTGCTCCGGTCTGCAGGTCATCAGTCAGAATCCAGCAGCAGTCTGACAGACAAAATTACTCACCACATAACCGCTCAACTCGTCCGAAGCCAAAAACACCGCCGGTCCCGCCAGATCCTTTGGCTGACCCAACCTCCCCAGCGGGATGCGTCCCTCCATATAAGTGCGCTTCTTCTCGTCGCTCAAGTCCTCTTCGTTCAGCTGCGTGCGGATCGTCCCCGGCAGGAGGGCGTTGCACCGGATGCCGTACTTGCCCAGCGCGACGGCCGTCGACTGCATCAGGCTCAGCACGCCCGCCTTGGTAGGCGTGTAGTGCGTTTGCCGTCCACCGCCGACCAGCGCGGAGATGGAGCTGATGCCGATGATTGACCCGCCGGGAGGGGACTGATTCAGCGCCATCTGGCGCGCAGCGGCCTGCGTAGCGTAGAAGGCGCCGGAGAGGTTAATCGAGACCGTCTGATCGAGGAGGTTGGGTTCGATCCTGCAGCCACATTAGAACAGCCATCTTAGAAGAAAACAGAAGAAGCAAGCTCTCACTCTAGAAACTCCGCAAACTGACACACGCCGGCATTGCTCACAAACACGTCCAGCCGGCCAAACGCCTCGACCGTGCGGGCGACAAAGTCCCTGCCCGTCTCCGGCCGCGAAATGTCGCCTGGCACGGTGATGAACCGTTGCTTGTCACCCGAGACTACCTCTGCGGCATCTTTGTGAAACTCCTCGACGAGGCTGTCCTCGTTAGATCCACCGAGGTGGTTGACGGCGACTTTGGCGCCCTGGCGGAGGTATTCGAGTGCGATGGCCTGGACAGAAAGATCAGTAAATAAATTAATTAAATTAAATTAAATAAATAAAGGTAAATGAAGATACACACCCGTCCGATTCCCGTCAATCCACCCGTGATGGCAGCGACCTTGCCTAGCAGGAGTTGCGGGGAAGCCATTTCAATTATTTCCCTAGACGATTAACGATGGTATCTGAAATCTGAACTGATTTGTATCACACGTCTGGAGAGGGAATCAATAAAGAAAAAAGCGAGGGTAAAAACGTGCAGGTGGGGAAGAGGGTGTGAGAAGAAAGGATGAATTGAATTGAGCTCGTGACGAAATGCGAGTTATTGTCCCTCCCCGCAATCGTTGCTAGAACCGTACATTACGATGTTCTCTGCCAATTGAATACACAGCTACTACAGGTACTGTCACATCATTTACTGCGCAGTATGTATTTACATACAGTCCGGCATAGACTATTACCCTACCCTATCTGAATGCTGAATGGAGGGATGTGTTTGTTATTCACTCGCTGCGAAGGGACGTCCCTCCTCTTTTCTGGGATGGAATTCGGCTGCCCGCATTAATTACCGTATTTTGACCCCTCGGTGGAGCTGGCCATTCGGGGTTTTCGCGGTAATGATAGCCCGAGCGGGGAAGCCGCGTGTTTCCTCCGTCCCCACATCACTTCGGTGGCGGACCGATAAAGAGTACTCTGTATGTGTTATAACAGGATCAACAAAAGGGTGAGAGATCTGTCTTGCCGTTTTTATTTACGTGAAAGCAGAATAGAACGGAGGAATGGTACAGTACATACTTGACACACAGACATGTTGGATGGATTTCACGAATACAATTCATATCAATCTAGTCCTGACGTTCTACTAAATCACCCTCTTTCGCTCTTCAGTCTATGTCGTACATTGACTAGCAGCAGATAGATAACATGCATGGCGCGCAGTAATATAATATACTATAGAAAATGAGAAAGAAATGGAGTACAATATCTGAAAGGCCATCGCAGAAAACAAAGCTCATGGCCATGCTGTATCAAGTGCATGCTCTAGGTAGATCCGTTGGCTTGCTGCTCCTGCTGCTGCTGCTGCCGCTCACTCTCTGGCACGGTCAGGCTCTTCGCAGGCGCCGGATTCAGCAGCGCAGACCCCGGAATCAACGGAGCAGCCGGGTTCAACTCCAGGCCAAACCCGGGCTTGTCCAGCTCGCTCACATCAATGTACCCCTTCACCGGGATCGGCTCGTTCAGGAACAGATTGCCAAACACCGGCTCCACGGTCCGGCCGTCGGCCGAGTTGGCAAGGTACTCCTGGAATGGCGTGTTCGGCTGAGACACGACGAAGTGGTAGGAATACGGGCCCGAGGCGTGCGGCACCACCGGGATATCGTATGCGGCCGCCATCGAGGACACCTTGAGCAGCTCCGTCAGACCGCCCAGCCACATCACGTCCGGCTGGATGATGTCCAGATTGCGACCCTCGATCAGCTTCCGGAACCCGTATCGGGAGTACTCGTGTTCGCCGGTGGTGAACTTGACCGTCGGGTGCGCCTTCTTGAGCAGGGCCTGTCCATCGAAGTCATCCGGCGAGAGACATTCTTCCCACCAGTCAATGTGCAGTCCTTCAGCCTCGGCCCGCTTGACCAGCTCGATGGTGTAGGAGACGTTGAGCGACATATAGCAGTCCACCCGCAAGGGGAAATCCGGCCCGACACTCTCTCGGTGCTTGCGGAGGAATTCGATGTTGCGCAGCAAGCCGTCCATGCCCTCGTCCGGTCCGTACGGCAGGGGCACCTTGGCTCCGATGAAACCCGCCTCCTTGGCGGCAGCTGGCTGAGGTCCCGTGCAGTAGAAGTGCAGCCTCTTGCGGGTTGCTCCCCCGATCAGCTTGTAGACGGGCTCCTTGCGAATCTTGCCGATCAGGTCCCACAGGGCCAGATCAATGACAGAGATAACAGCCACGGGGAGACCTTTACGACCATAGAACATGGATCCTCGGTACATCTTCTCAAAGAGGTCGTTTAAGTCGCGGGGGTCTGTCAAAACCAACACCGTCAGTCCACTCACATTCTGCTCATATCTGTGAGAGGGTCTTCTTACCTGCGCCCAGAAGGAACCGCTCGAAATGCTGATGGACCAGCCAGCAGGCGGGCGGACCTCCAAACCCAGTCGCAAACCCTTTGGTGCCGTCGCTGGCTTCAATTTCGACACAGAACGAACCCAAGACGTTGATACCCCAGCTCGTTCTCGACTTGCGGTACTGCTCCCACCGGGCCATCGGAGTCGAGATGGGACTGTCCACCAGCCAATGCCCTCCTTTGACCTGCGAGGATTTCAGCGCTGACCAGCGAAGAGACAATTCCAGGCCAGTGGGCTGGACTTACATTGTGGTAGTCACCCCCCGAACCCACACCCTGAACCACAAACGTCCTCACATGTTTAATGACGGGGAATGTCGCGGTCGACGCCATTTTCACAGGTCCTATCACAGGAGGGGGAGGACTCTAGAACGGCTGCAATAGATACGTAGCAAGTGCCTAAAAGGGAAAGAAGACAGTCCCAACGGTGTGATGATGCTTGATGGGTGAGCAAGAGCCGGAGAAAGGGAAGAGGCCTCGGTATATAAATAAATGAACGGCGCAGAGCGCTGCCAATTACCCGGAAACAAGTCCGGGCCTGTCGTGCTCCATGGCTGCGAGACGGCCTTCTAAGTTGTGCGTGCTCACGGTGCGGGCACGGTTCGGGGCAATCGTCCCCGAGACCCCCGAGCCATCGCCGGGTCGCCGACAGCCACGGGCTAACCGCGTCGGGACTAGCGCAGGGCGGAGAGCAGGCGTTTTGCGGGGTTTCCTGCTGCCGAACTGAGAAGGAGTGACCCGGGGACCCATACGGCGCGCAGCTGCCTCCATTGTTTTCTCCTCCACCTGCTCCATCTTCTGTCGATTCGGCTGTTTCTGTCTCAATCGCCGCGCTAATCCGGCGCCTCGTCTTTTCGCCTGCAGATCTCTGTTCTTTTCTGTCGATGGGCCTGTCGGGAATTGGATGACGTCGTCGCCTGCTGGTCGACTGGCTGCCTCGCGATATCACAATGCCGAACACGGCCGCTGTCCCTGGCAGTAAGGCTGACCCTGTGCAGAGTCCCGATGGCGATTCATCGGGCGCCGAGTCCGGGAGCAAGCAATTGGCGGATGGCAATGGCTCGCATAATGCCTCGTCGCGCGGGACCAAGAGGAAACGCCCGCTGATGGTATCGTATGTACTCCGCTTGCTTTCTCCAGCTCTTTGTCTTTTTGCTGTCACCCCCCTTAACCCCTATCTTCTTCCCCATCCATTCGCTGCACCCTGCTGTCTTCCTCCCCGCAGTCGGGGAGGGGCAGGTGGGAGAGTTCATGGCCGAACCCCAGGCTGACCGGCCAAGGTGCGAGCTCTGCAAGCAGAGAAAGGTGAAGTGCGGTAGGTGCTCTCTCTGTCTCAATTGTCTAATTTTGAGTCTGTCTCGTCCTGACGAACTGTAGACCGTGCACAGCCGAGCTGTGGGTGGTGTGCCCGCAATGGCCAACTATGCGAGTACAAGGAACGAAAGAAACCTGGCCTCAGGGCTGGATACGGCAAGGAATTGGAACAGCGGCTTGGTAGGGACCATCTTCCGTTCCTAAACCTCCGGTACTGACTGTTCCCTACCTAGACAGGTTGGAAGAGATCATCAAGGCACAAGCCCGTATCATCGAGACCCATATTCTCAATAATCAGCCTCGCGCCAGCCATGACTTTTCGCAGGCCGGTGGAGTGCCTTCATACAGTTCCCCATCCGAACCATCCGCGGCTACGGGTCCCAGTCCTCAAACTGCCTTGTACCTGCGCGAGTCCTCCATGGTACCCATGTCCCATCGACAACAGGTCGAGACCGGGACTGGGACAGCCTCGACAAACCAGCACGATATCTCCATCAGAAGTCCGTCTGATGCTTCCGTCAAACAGACGACACACTCCCGTGTTCAGAATGGTCTCTCTGCCGCGACGCCGTTGTCGCAAATGCCAGAAACGACCAGTGCAGACTACACGCGGAACGAATCGTCCTTAAAGGTCCCCGTCAATCTCTTCAACAATCAAGAACAATCCCTCACCGATCCTGAGCTAGATCTACCCCCTTATGATTTACTCTACGCCTTAGTCGACCTCTACTTTGAGCATATCAACACCTGGTGCCCCATTCTGCACCGGCGAACTACGCTAGACACGTTTTTCGGGCCATCACCGCTGGAAGAGGCTGACCGTATCGTCCTTTATGCCATTGTGGCCACGACTCTTCGCTTCTCCAACGATAGTCGGCTGACAGAGGAGAGTCGGAGGCGGTATCATGATTCGTCGAAGCAAAAGGTTCTGCTATACGGCCTTGAACACTCGTCGGTGAAGTCGCTCCAGGCTCTGGTCATCCTCGCGCTTGACTTCGTGGGCTCTTCCAACGGGCCTCCTGGTTGGAAGCTCCTCGCCCTGATCGCTCGATCTGTGGTCCAACTCGGATTGGCTGTGGAATCGGGGTCTTCGCTCATTTCATCCGCCTATCCGTCCATCTACACGCTTAGGGCGGTCATTCTGCCCGACCCGGAGTCGTGGATCGAGGACGAAAGTCGGCGGCGGCTGTTTTGGATGGTGTACCTGCTGGATCGCTATTCGACAATTGCTACCGCGTTTGACTTCGCCTTGGACGATAAGGATATTGACCGCAAACTGCCCTGCCGGGATGAGTTCTTTGCGAGAAATCAACCGGTCGAGACGCGATGGTTCCGCACCTCTAAGGATCGAAGCGATTACACGAGCCATGCCGAGAACGTGGGCTCCTTTGGGTTCTACGTCGAGATCCTCGACATCCTCTCACGCATCCATCTCTTCCTGAAGAAGCCCGTTGACATCGGGTCCCTCTCCGATGTCGAAGAATGGCAAGCGACGTATCGGAAGCTAGACAGCGAACTCACCTCCTGGGAATTCAACCTGCCAACTGAATACGCTTACGAGAACTCGTCCCGTCTCTTCCATAGCTCCTCCAAGGCGAACAAGACGTTCCAATGCGACTGGGTGATGCTCCATGCCACCTACCAAACGTAAGTCCCTCTTTTCTTCTTTGCAATTCCCGAAGTTGTGAAATCGCTGATGAGCCTTAGGACTGTGATCCGTCTGCACTCCTCTGCGGCATACCCGACGACACGGTCCCCAATCTTTACGCCGTCATACAGTGCCAGTCAACGATGCTTGGTGGCGGTGGACAATATCCTGTCGCTGACCCGCTTTGTTGTCGAGAACAACATGCTGGACAAACTGGGTCCCCCTTTTGCTTTTACCCTCTGGGTCTCGGCACGACTCTTACTCGTACACGGTTCGACAATCGCCCACACCGTCAGTCCCGACATCTACTTCTTCGTTGATGTCCTGGCCCGGATGGGGAAGTACTGGAAAGTGGCCGAGCGATACAGCTCAATCCTGCAGCGTGTCTTGGATGAATACTCCGAGTACCAGCAGGCGGCTGGAACCGATGGTGAGCGTGCCACCCCATCGTCCGTGAAAATCCTGGCCGACATGCGACGCTGCGCATTCGATTTGGATTTCCTGATCTCCCGACAGCCGCGGGAGAACTCGTCGGCGCATCCTACCCACCATCAACCCAGTAGAAATCTGGCACCGAACGAATTAGAATACCTCGATGTCTTTGGGTTCTTCAACGTACCGCGTGTGCCGACGGTACCGACCCCGGTGCCTGCCAACCTGGAGATCAACGACGCCATCACCAACCCCATGTCCATTCCTGGTCTCACCGGGACGGCGTCATCTACTGCGCCTGCGGGCAATAACAACGAATTTAACATTACCAACTATATGATCCCGACACCGGAGACCGATTGGTTGTTCCGGCCACCTGGATAGCAGCCTCAGAGTTGCGAGGCTCTTTTAATTGTCTTCTTCGTTCCGATTTTACCCCCCTTCTTTAGACTCTTTATACCTCGTCTGATGCCATTTTCTCCAGAGACCTGGGTTTGTGATATCCATTCACGTCGGTTGTATTTTCCACGTAACTGAACATTGTCATTTACAAGGGAGGGAAGATTCTGAAAAGCTTTTTTTTTTGTCATTTTGTCCTCATGAGAAATGTGTTCATTCTCCAAAAATTTTGTCTTGTATATATTATTTTTGTATACTAGCATGCCTTTAATGGCGATGTGGGTTTCAAGCTGGTCTGAATTCAGGCATGGGTTCTGGATGAATATTCTCACCCTTTCATCCTTTTTACCCCTGAGGTATTTATAGATGAAAAACTTTCAGCCTTTGCATTTGTTGTGTCAGTTAGGCACAGGACATGACAAACAGGTTCTCTTGAAGTCAGCTCTTCTACACGCAATGATGAAATAAAATGAATAATTAAAGCAAAGCTCATTATACTGTCTAACATAGGTATGTTACGAAGAGAGAAAGAAAGATAGGCATAGACAGAGTGAGAGAGGATATTTTTAATTGATTCATTCATCCATGTTCATCCATTGTTCATGATGGTTGGGACATACATGCAATCCAGTTGTTCCCCCTCAAGTGATTCATTCATCCATTCATGCATTCATTCCTGCCCTTATCAACACCGGTTTTTTTTCTTGCTCCCAGCATAGCTCATAGGTCATATGAACACACACAAAAAAAAAGAGGAAAAAAAAAAGAAGCCTAATCCCATCCTGACTGACATGCGAAATCACACCTCCCAACAAAGAGAAAAGAAAAGAAAAAAGAAAAGAAAAGGGGTAGATACATGAGATCGTCGAACAGAGAGCAGATCAGACCAGAAGAAAAGGTCCTGAAGAGATAAAATCGATCAATCAACCCTGTGAATGGCTGAGCTCGTCGTCGACTGGCTCGATCCGCACGAGGAGCTCCTCGAGAAAGCCCTCCAGGAATGATCCATTTTCGCCTCCCATCCCCACAGGCGCCTCTTGGTCCAACCGTTCGATCTCATTGAAGATGCCTGCCGCCTTCAGGACAAGCTTCTTCAGTTTCTCATGTGTGGACTGGCGACGTCTCACACTCTCCGTAGTACTTGCGTTACCATCTCTGCCGTTTGTCGTGGACTTCCGCACTAGAAGGTCAAGGTGGTGGGCACGACGTTTCAGGGCCGCTTCCAAGGCAGGCAGGATGACCCACTAGCGGCGGTAATTGTCTCTGATGAGCTCGAAGCAGGAGCCTCCATTCTCGAGTCTGTACTCTTGCGACGCTCTGACTCCGTCTTCTCCTGTGTCGATGGCGGGTGTGGCGAGAAGGGAGGGAGCGCCTTCTGTTGGGCTGGACGAGGGTGCTCTGTTGCAACAGATTTAGAACTCCGACCAGAGCCGCTTTTCACAGGTTGAATCTCTGTTGATGTTTCTGATGAAGGCGTGTCTGATTCATGAACAGGGGCAGGCGTGTGGGAAATATGCTCATGTGCAGCTGGAGACTGCTGATCCTTTGAGCCTGACGGAGAGCCACTTGGGGAGTCACCCAGTTTCAGGAAAGTCAGATCTGAAGCCAAGGACTGCTGTAAGGCTCTGTCATAATCTTTAGTGGCCGGACTGTCTTTGTCTGTTGGGGCTGCCGGTTTGTTTAGATAGGAAGTCGGCGTCTGAGGCGGAACGTCTTGTACTGTCTGTTTTTGTGGTGATGGGGGGAGCGGCACCTTGGATGGGGAGGCCTGTGGAGTATGGCAAGAGGTGTTCTGTTTCTGTGGCGAGTGAGGCACAGAAGTCACTGTTTTCATCGTCCCCTTTGAGGTCTGGTTTTCCGAATCCTCACTGCGTTCTGTGCTTCCAGCGTCCAACACCTGGGTTGCATTATCATACCCCTGGCTGCGTGCGTTGGTAGCTGCACCACTCATTGCTTTAAGCCCAGTTGGTCTTCCCCCTGCGGGTCTGACAGTGCCAAAATCCCACAGGTCTTCATCATCTGAACTAGGCTTCTCCTGTTGCTGGTGCACATGCCCGTCATCAACTTCGGGCGATCCACGGCCATGGATTGCTTGCCATCGCTCGTGCCTTTCGATCAACTCAGTCAAGTATGTGGTCTTCTTTGCTTTCTTGAGAAATGGGTGTTTCAAGAGTTCCTTCGCTGTTGGTCTCTCTCGCGGATCGCGTCTGAGGCATAGTGAAACAAAATCCTTGAACGTCTTGCTGAAATTGCCCGTCAACGTTGGCGGTGGGTTCTTTGGAATAAGAAACAGGACTTTCATGGGATGAATATCCGAATATGGAGGCTGTCCCTTGGCAAGCTCAATCGCTGTAATCCCTAGGGACCAGATGTCTGCTTTGTAGTCATAACCGGACTGTTTGATCACCTCTGGTGCCATCCAGAACGGCGTACCAACGAACGTATTCTTTTTGGTCATCGTGGCACTCAGCTGACCGGAAACGCCGAAATCCGCGAGTTTCACTTGACCATTCCCGCTCAGAAGAATATTTGCTGCTACAATGGAGGTCAGCCCATATGCTATCGCTAACGGAAAAGTATTGGGTGTACAGATCATACCTTTGATATCCCGATGCAGCTTCTTATCGCTATGTAGATAGTCCAAACCTAAAAGTAACTCTCTGAGGATGATCATGATATATTCCTCTGGTATGAGCCCCGACCTCAATAGATCCAAACAGCTACCCCCGGAGCAGAACTCCATAACGATCCAGAGATCCGAACCCTTGAGGTATGAGCCATGGTATTTGGTGACATAAGGCGAGTTCATTGTAGACATGATGGAGATCTCAGTAATGATGTCTTCGACTTCGTCTTCGGCATTTTCGACATCGATAATTTTAATTGCTACTGACTGGCCCGTACGTTTATCGACCCTATAGACACCCTCGGGGCTTAGCACGCAACCGATAACGACGACGGAAGTAGAACGAAACTCTCTGGACGTACCCTTTGTAGACCTTACCAAAACTCCCGCCACCTGTGGAAGCCATTGCTATTAGTAAATCTGCCCAGTTCACAGAAGTTCTCCAAGGTTCAGGCGGGCGTACCCAGGCAATTCTGCTTCGTATAAATCGTCTCTGGATCAACCACGCCCTGCATCTTCAATGGCTCTCAGAGGATGAACTGGTCAGGCCGTCGTTCGTTCTCCTTGAACTCGGTACAGACGAGGTCCTGGTCCTCCGAGCCTGTGTAGTAAATAAAGAAGATCAAAGCCTGCTCAAAAGACCCCAGGCTGTTGCGTCCACATGAAATTCACGCCCTTGAATCACAGCAGGCTGTGATTCCTTGCAGCCAAGGGGCAGCTTGGAACGACCAGATCGAAACGATCGATGGTCTACCGAGGCTCAAAAGAAATTGGTGAGACAAGTCACTCTGCAATTGCTAGAAGGGGATCGAACAGTGGGGAAAATAGAGTTAATAGTTAACGAAGGGATGGAGAACCAGACGATAGTTAGGAGTAGATGGAGACCACAACAGTGGGATCAACAATAAACTAGTGGCGGTTGTCCCGAGCGGGAAGCGTCATTCCCAAAGCAAGAGCTGCAGGATTCCCAAGGGCGCTTTATTATTGAATGCCGAGCGAGTCGAGCTCTGCTGCTGCGACTGGACTAAGAGCCGACCTTATTATTGTTTATGAGGACTCGATTTGTTGTTGGCTGCAGCTTGTTGTTTTGGTCAGTCCGTTAGCTTAAACACCGACTGTTCTGACGGCGCATGCCACAGGACAAGGGGCGCTACCTTCGGGAGGTCCCACCGGCTCAGGAAGCTTAGGTAGGAGTGATAGCACTTTGCCCTTGGCTAGTCAATGAAAACAATGATAAGAAGGCGTTGACTTTGCTTTGTCTGTCTCTGTGACTGTGCCTGCCGTCAAAATGCCTTTGTCTGGCGGCTGCTGGCCTGAACATCCATGGTGCTGGGGAGCGGCTGCTCTCTGCGGCATCTGGAGATGCTCCGACCAGGACGGGAGAGAGCCCGGCCATGACGGCAGCGGAGGAGTCTGGCTGGACAGGCGGTGGTTAGGGAAGGCGGTGTGAATGGCGGGGTTGACCGGTTGCCTGAGATAGGAAGGCGGTGATGGATGCTGGCGTATCAGATGTCACTGGCCAGGCACCCGCTGCCTGTGATTGGCGCTGGTGTGTTTACGTCCCTGTGCAGAGTCAGGTGATCATAACAGAGCAGTCGCACCATGCCACAAAGGGAGGCATCGGCGATGACAGACAGACCCCAACTCTGCTGCTAACAAATAAATGCACACTTGCGGACCATCGAGGGCAGGTTTCGCTGTGAGAAACATCGTAACTAGTACTGTTATAGCTCGAGGCTAGCAGACCGCTACAAACTACCTGTGCATACACGTGTATGCGACTTGAAGGTGGGGGGAGAGGGGAACGGTCTATTCCTCTAAAGATAAGACTGCAGTTACACGCCCAGTCATTTCGTAACGGACCTTCAAGGCCTCTTGCAAAAAAGATCCTAGAAATCATGGCACTGTATGTCATAGAATGACCTCAGTGGTTGAAAGACTAAAATAAAACTGAAAGCAGGAACCGGCGCAGCGGCAGTAGGGGTCATGTCAGGTGTATTCCACTCAGGCTAAGTCGACTGTGCTGCCCTCAGAAAAGGCAAATAGCAAAATCAAATCACCCAATTAGATAAGTAATTGCCTGTCAGTCATGTCCATTGCAACGCCTCATGATATGCATATCCGTAAATCATTTCATCAGTGGTAAAGAACTCCCGTCCCTCTATTGCTTAATCGAGATATCCAATCATGACTGTTCCGTTCTTCAGACCCGCATCCTGGATGCTGGTGTCCAGCTCGTCGATAAGGTTCTTGCCCATCGCATTGAGCTCAAACTCCACGCCCTTCTTTTCCTTCAATGGTGGGTCGGACTTTAACCATTCGTAGATACGTCGAACCGGATCTGCCAAGGCGAATCGGCGGATGACCCTGCCCGAGGGATGTCGGAACTGGATGCGGGTAGTGGTGGATGGGTCAGCCGGCGGCTCCGTGTGAGGTCGGTCGGAGGGAATGGAACGGAAGATGGAGGCTCCAGTGTCTTCCTCCTCCTCCTCCTCCAACCCATTGGTATCCTCTTCTTCCATGGCGACATCTTCGGCTTCCTTGGCTTTGCCTTTGCCCTTGATATCGTCGATACTGCGCGTCAACTCGTCGGGATCTTCTATTTTCTCCGGGGGCGGTGCACCACCAAGGCTGTTTCTCATTGCCATCTCCACCATCTCTTCTTCAGTCATAGTCTCCAATTTCTTCTCCCTCGAGATTTCTGGTTTCCGCTTCGCCACTGGGTTGCGCACATTGTGCTTCAAACTGTATCGATCGAGGAATTCATGGAGCTGCATGAGAAATTCGGCTGGCTTGGGTACAGGCGGGCCGGACCAGACTTTCACTTGCTCACCGGTACGAGGATCAATGATGGCGATGTGCGGGTAGTTGTCCGAGACATCATGTGCTTGGAAATAATACTGCAAGTATGGAACACCACGAGGATCATCCTTGGTATACTGCAGGAAAATGAAATTCTCCTTCACGGTATCCTTCACTCCGGGGTCCTTCCAGAGATCCCGGTTTAATACCTGGCAGTCGAAAATGGAAGGGTCTTGAATATTCACGAGAATCCACTTTTCGTTCTTTCGACCCTCCTCGCGTGCGAGATCCCATGGCAACCTAGACATCAGTTCAAATGGGGGGCGGTACATCTCAGCGAGCATGCTTGACTTCGATGAAGCTTCCGAGGCACCTCCTGTCGCAATAGCGAGACTCTGTCGGTGGGACGCTTCTGAGCTGTCGTTCCAGATATCGGTCGTGTCTCTCTGGTTAAATATTCCAGGTCGATCTAACAAGTAAAACCCATGCAATCAGTCACAGAACTCATATGAGAAACGTGGAGAATTTTCGACTAACTGCTTCTTGTTTGTCTAGCACGGAGCTGGTTCAGAATTGCACTCTGCATATCCTCGTCGTAACCATCTGCTCCAGGCCCTACAAGCGTCTCTGTGGTTCGTGCCAGAGGAGCCCGCACACCATCGGAGCTATCTGCACCAGCATAGAGCTCCTCTTGTAAACGTCGGGCCATGGCAGCATCATCTTCGTAAGTCGAGCCCGGAGGATGTCGAGCTGGTGCGGAAGATCGTGCCTCATCCACGGTGACATCTTCGTCATCTGAGTCCAAATGAACTACCCCCGCCTCATCTTCATAAGCCGTGGTGCGAGAAGCACGCTGGGGCCTTGAGGAGGTAGGGGGCGGATGTGATGGCTGTTCAGTTAGCTCTGCTCCTCCATTTTCGAAATAGAGCTGCATGGCCTGCTCGATGTTGAAATCTGCCAGCTCCAGATACTGAGCTGCCAGTTCTGGAGTCGAGCCAGTAATCTCAGTGAACTGAGCCACCACGTCCCCCTCCATGGCGGGCGATTAAGTGGTGGGCTGGAATCCGAACAGTGTAGACAGGAAGGGGATCAGGCAGTGCGGCTAGTCGTTCAAAAACGGTGCTGATGTCTAAACCCGGAGGCGAAACTGGTTGTGGATCAAGAACAACCGAGTAGAAATTGCCGTCTGCCTGACGGAACAGGTCTGGTATAATTCAAGAGAACCGTGAGCTATCATGGGAAATTGACTAAAGACAGATGATACGAAGTGTTATGATCAGGCGGCGTTGCAGACAAACGAGTCGGCCACCATCGTCATCTGCTAGGCGGAACCAGTGACGATTGCATGCAGAGGGGCTCTGGCACAATAGATATTCCGTTCCGTCCAGAAGGCAAGTCCAACCGAATAATGTCGGGTGCATAAATCCGGTGAGGCAGAAAGACCACAAGCGCAGTTATGCACCAACTTTTATGTGCGGAATTTGCGCTAGGTGCTTAAACGGCCTACCGTAGCATTCCCTTTTGGGCAAACGCGCATAGGATTACTCCGTTCACCATGGCCTCAAGACTCATATGGCAATTAGAATGTGCGGGAGAAGGGGAAAATGACGGCTGGTTCCGGTATTTCGAGTTCTTCGAGGTATTCATGTCGTTTTTTTGCTGGCAGAAGAGACAGCTAGGCGACAATGCCCGCCATTACGAGAAATGGCGTTCCACGTGACGCTCGGAAAACCTGCCTCGCAAAGGAGTGAAACGCGCTTCGCGGTCTTGCCGTTTTAACGTTCCCAGACGCGAAGCGCGTCTCGTGCGAACCATCGATGTACCCCGATGTACCTGCCCTTCAAAGGTACATCCTCCCCCCAAGGTCGCTCTCGCCGCTTTCACCATCCACCAAGACTCACCTTCACAATGGCAGCCACGGTCCTAGGAAAGCGTCAACGAGCCGCAATCGAGCAAGAAGGTAATTCCAGTCGCTCTTTCTCGCTTTCTATCCTTGCTGACTCCTTTTCAGAGGCTTTGTCGCTGCGTTCTGGCAGCAAGCGCCGTGCGCGAGCACCTCGAATCCATGAAGAACAAAACGGGAACCCATTTATTTCGCCGACAGCCCGTCTCAGATCTAAGACTGGGGACGGCTGCGGCCCGTACCAAGGCGACGACACCAACGTCAAGAGCTCCACGATCGGTAATGGCCGTTCGAAACGTAATGTTCGAAACGACAATACCTTGTCATCGCCATCCAAGATCGATGCGCATTTCCGGGCTTCTAAATCCGTAACCGGTAGGACCTCCGCATGACTCTCCCCAACTTGACACACGTGTATGGCTAACCAGAGTAGATGAAAACGTGAAACCAACCGAATTCAAGACTCCGCAGTCTACGAGATTCCGAGATGCGCTGGCCGATTCTCCTCCGGTTACTCCAAAACATCGGGTTCAAGTTGGAGGAAAGTCGTTGACGCCTCGCACTCCCCGGAATGCTTTTACGCCAATTGCCGCCCAGAGCGTCTACACTCCTGCCAGGCAGATGTTTGCCAGGTGCGCGAATCCAGGCCGCTTAGTCGGCAGGGAAAAGGAACGAGAAGAGCTCTCGTCTTTCATCCAAACCGGAGTGCAGTCGCGGAAAGGTGGCTGTATTTACATTAGCGGACCGCCGGGAACTGGCAAGAGCGCGCTGGTGGAAGAGGTGTGCAGAGACCTAAACTTGGGGTCTGCTGTCAAAACCGCGCATATCAATTGTGTGAGCATGCGAAGTGCCCGTGACATCTACAGCAAACTTGTCGAGACTCTGTGCGAGGACTCGCAAGTCTTCACCATGAGCGAGACCGACAGGCTGAAGTCGATGTTCATGCCCACGAAGAAGTCGGCGGATCTGTTCCTAGTCACTTTGGATGAGATTGACCACCTCCTGACGGCAGATCCGGAAATTCTATATTCACTTTTCGAGTGGTCATTGCACAGCAAGTCTCATCTCCTCTTGATCGGCATTGCCAATGCATTGGATCTCACGGATCGATTCCTACCACGGCTAAAGGCTAAGAATCTCAAGCCCCGCCTGCTTCCATTCTTGCCGTATACTGCTCCTCAAATCGCCGACGTGATTACCGCTCGTCTGCGGTCCCTTCTGCCTGAAGACCAAAAAGACGCCGGGGATTTTGTGCCTTTTCTCCAACCGGCAGCTATCCAATTGTGTGCAAAGAAGGTCGCATCGCAAACGGGCGATCTCCGGAAAGCCTTTGAATTGGTGAAGCAGGCTCTTGATGTCATCGAGCAGGAGACGCTGCAGAAGCTGGAGAAAGAGAATGCAGAATCGGACAGTTCTTCCAAAACGCCTTTGGTGGAGAATATCAACCTGTCATCGCCTCCCAAAACTCCAACCTCGAAGCGCACGATAGCTACCGCGTATACCGCTCTCACGGCACCTCGTGCCTCCATCGCCCATATCGCTCGCATCACTTCCGCTGTTTTTGGACAAGGTACGACCCAGCGGTTGCAGGGATTGAATCTGCAACAAAAGGCGGCGCTGTGTGCTCTCGTGGCGTTGGATAGGAAACGGCGCAACGGCGACATCCCCGGCACTCCATCAAAAACAAGGGTCGCTGCTCCAACTGTCAGAGAACTCTTTGACACATATTGTACTCTCTGTCGGACAGACAACATCCTCCATCCTCTCACAGCCACGGAATTCAAGGACGTGATCAGCAGTCTGGAGTCCCTGGGGCTTGTTGGCGAATTTCAAGGGTGTGGGAGAGGAGGCACCATTGCTGGCGGCTCTGGTATCCTGCGCACTCCGTCGAAGAGTGGTAGCGGTTCGTCTACGCCTTCGAAAGGCATGGATGAGAAGGGCCTGGCTTGTTTTGTCTCCGAGAAGGAGATTCTCAACCAGATTTCAGGACCAGGAGAGGGTATCCTCAAGGCGTTACTCATGGGAGATGGGTTGTAATAATTTTTTTTTGCTTTGTTCAGTTTGCCATTGTCGACATTATTAGCGTACATGCATGCATGGGAGTGGAGTTGGGGCATTATTTTGCGTATATATAGTCGTGAAGATGGACGTCACGACAACCTGATTGATTATTGCGGTGTCTTTGCATGAGGGTCTGCATCTGGTGACTGGTTTGATTGATTCATTGTTTTTGTTATTTCTGCATAAACATGCATGGGCTGGTACCTTGGAGTTGGACTGGACTAAGTAGACAGTAGAAGGGCATTGCACATTACACATTATTTGGATTAGGAGAGTCAAGGAGAAAAAAAAAAGATATATCATTCATACCATCATTCCTTTTCCATTTATTCCTTGTTCTTTAAGATGGTCAAAAGAAAAACGAAGCAAGGAATATGTGTATATCCATACACTCTCGTACATACATACATACATATGAAGGACAACACTTACAGCGTAGCACGCGCGCATAGCACGTATGAACAATGAAATGCAATGAAAGAAAGGAAGGCTAGAGACAAAAACGAAACAAAAAGAAATGGGACAAGAAGCAAAAAAAAAAGAGAGACAAAGGGAAAACAAGACATTTGATAGGTAGGTATGTTTACAGATATGAAAAGAAAAAATAACAAAACAAGTTGGTCAATTTCTACAACAAAGCAGTTCAGTTCAGTCAGTCAGTCAGTCAATCGGTTAGTCAGTTCCCTCCTCCCTCCTCTTACTCAGAACACAGACGCAGACACATCTTCCTTCCAGACTTTTTCTTCTACTGTCATGATCAATCATGATCATTGTCCTCGTCCTCGTACGACTCATTCAGCACTAACTATACTTTCCTAGACCATGGTATTCGTCAGGCATTGCTCTCGTTGTGTTGCAAGTTTTTTTTTGCCTCTAATGCATGCACTTCGACGAAAAATCTAGGAGAAATCATTCATCGGCTTGTCCTCCAGCGTCACACCTTTCAGCTCGCCTTCAGGAGGGAGGCTGTTCCTTTTGGTGCTGTCTATGCTCGCGTTTGCCGTAGTCCGGCTGATGCTGCTCATGCCTGGTTTGCGCGAATACCGTCCACCCGAGCGAGTGAGCGAATTTCGTTTCTCTACCACCTCCGCAGGAGCTGGTGCGGGCGTGGCAGTCGGAGTGGGTGAACCGTCTGAGCCATTAGCGGGCGCTCCTGCGTCAGTAGAGGTGGTGACACCGTCGGCGGCCGTGCTATTGGCAGCAGCGTTTTCCTGCGACTTGGCGAGAGTAGAGTGGTCAGCAGGAGGTGAGGAGGTGGCGCTTCCTGGAACTTCAAGGCTCTGTCTAGCAGGGTGTCGGCCTCCCGGCGGACTGCTGACGTTGATCGGGAAGCGGGTCGATCCCCCCGATCCATCAGTGGACCGCTCTCGTCGATGCCTAGCCGATGGTGCGGGACTATTGGCCCGGCTACGACTCGCGATCGCGCGGTTTCGAGCCTCCATGGCAGCACGACGGTTGCTCTCATCAGTACTGATCGCTCGTGGACGAGATTGGCCGAGAGCATTGGCAGTAGACTGACGCTTGAGCTCGCCGAAAATAGCATCTTTGTGGGCAAAGAGATCCCGAATCAGACGGTAGCTGTGGCGCTCGTTCATCGTGAGGCTGCTTTCAACACGCGGGCGAAGAATGCAAGGAGCCAATGTTTGAGCCAGTGCAGAAACATATGCTTCATCAGCCGACGTCAAGTCAATCAAACGCGTGAAATGGGTCATGATGGCATCAAGCGTAGCAATGTTATTGAGACGGAGCTGGCCGAGAGTGCTTTGCAAGACCTTGATCCGTCCTTCTTCCGTCGTCTCATTGGCAGTAGTAGAATAAATCGTCTTGATAATTTCGTAAACTTGAGAAGAAACAAGGGAGTCTGGAGAGCAAAATGGTCAGATCTAAATCCCGCTGTCCCTTTTCCACAAGTTGGAGACAAACCTGGCAATTCAAGGAGATATAACTTCAGAACGCTTGCAACAACGGGTATCTCATATTTCTCTAATATTTCACGGTGGTCAACGTTGCTGTTGTTCAAGGCATTACGGAGATGATGCGTTGCTGCGAGGGGAACATCGTGGAGCCATATCGCGCGTCGTGCCTCATCGCCCTCGAGGTCGGGATAGTCTATACTGATCAGCAAAAGTGCAAAGGAAGCATACAGGAAATCTTATCCTTACGGTCATCCAGAAAGGTCAAAATATTGGTCACAAGAATGGGAACACGTTTCCGGTCAGCCCTTGCCCTAGCCTCCAGATCCACTCCAAACGTCTGGTCTGCAAAACAAGGAAAGTGATTAGATAATCTCCAGAAGAAAGAAAGTAAATGGCGGCCCATCTTACCTCCGACAGAGCCATAGTAATTCTCATACGCTTGCACCTTTGGCACGAAACCTCCAGTCCGATAGTTCTCCAGCATGTATCTTAAATCGCCCAACGGCTGGATGGTCTCCTGATACAACATCATGTGGTCGATAGTGCTCTGCAAGCCAGGGATGACATTGCTGATAGCGCCGGAGAAGTCAAGAACAACGGACTTGATCGCTCTGAGGCGATCCAATTCACATCTTTCCATGAAGCGAAGATGGTCGATGATTTCTTCCTCAAGCTTGCATCTGAGCTGATCCAGCTTCTTCACGGCAGCTTTGTAACGCTCGTCAGCTTCACGAGCTTCCCGGTGGAGTTTCTCGGTAGGAGTCTCGTTCGGATACGGGTTGCTCAACGGATTCCAACCAGCCAGCATTTCAGAGACTGCCGAGATGGTAGGAGAATCGGAGGAATCGTCACTGGTGGCCAATGACGACACTCGCATGAGCGGCTTTTTCTTTTCGGGAATGCCAGTAATCTGAAAGGCCTTTGACCTCCACTGATAGTTCATGCGAGAACTATTTGCAAAAGTGCTGCCCATATTGCCAACTAGGCGCAGGAACCCATTGTCGACCAAATCCTGACCTATCCTCTCCGCGTAACTGACACTCGAGGCGTTCAGATGTTTCTGCAGATACTCAACAATATCCGCGCCTGTAGAGGTGTTTTGGTAGGTGCCCAATATCGGCACTTTGGCCTCTCCCATCTTGATATTCTCTAGCATGTGGGTGAGGAGCTGCTTCAACTCCTCGCGAGAGTAGGTCTTATCACCCAGCTCAACGAGCTCTGGTTCCTCCTCTACCGTCTCTGGCAGAACGATCTTTGGTGGAGTCGGCTTATTCCTGGGACTTGAGGTCTCTGGACTCTGAAAGGCCAGCTTGTTCTCCTCCTCGAGGTCTTCCACCACGCGACACTTGTTGAAGTATTGACTGCGCAATTTTTTGACCAACTCCGCCTGCTTCGCATGTTCCTTGATCCGCGCCTGCAATTCATCGTGTGAATTTTGGACCCGAGCCGCATGCTGCTCGCACCAGCGACTGAATGGCGTCACGACGAGTTCCCGGATGTTGGACGCGATCTTGTGGTGGTTTTTGGATGCCTCGATCATCTGGGCGCGGATACCGTCATAGGCCTGGACTCAGGAAACGCGCAGGGTTGTTAGCACAGAGTATTTCCATGGTGGAACGAGAAAAGCCTACCTTTCTGACACTTGCTCCTTCATCCTTAGTGAAACCGTTTGTAATCCGATCGACAGCCGGTGCGATTTCCCCAATTTTTGTGGCGTAAGCTTCTTCGGCATCCGCTCGCATACTGGCAATGGTGAGAATCTGCTGATTCTCTGCAATGCCCTGCTGGAGCTTCCCGTAGAGGACGCCCAGACCGGTGGCATAGTCGGGCGTCCAGAACGAATCGGCGAAACCAGGCATTGCGAAAACAGCAGCTTCAGTCGGACCAGAAGAGAACGACGAGAGAGAACGCGCGACCAAGAAGCAGAATCACTAAAGCAGGCAAGTGGCCAGCACCAAGCCAGCAGCGGCGGCCCGACTCGCTCGAAAACAGCTCAGATTCGACCAAATGCAATCTAGCGGAGTCCAGCTGGCATAGCCCTAGGCGGTGCTATGCACTGGCAGCAAAGAAAGAATGAGACTCAGAAAAAGGCGCTGGCAACTAGAAATTGAGAAAGAACGTACTGCTGAACGAAGAGGAAAGAGAACAGGAATGTTTTTTTTGCACGTTGTATGTATGTACAGGCTAAAGGCTAAGGGGAAATAGAAACACAGAAGACAGACAGACACCTGGGGCATAAGCCTCGTCATGCGGAAACACTTGGTTACGAAATTAACGGCCCATGTGCCAGCCCTGCAGTGGCTGACCTGGCCGTCCTATTTTTGGAGGCCGTCACGGATACCTGCCACAGGCCTTGTAACGAAGCTACGGGTGGCGGTATCGACGTTACATGCAGTATGGTAACATTGGTATTGCCGTGACAGGGTCTGCAGCCCTGCAAACATGCCAAGACCAGACTCTCGGAAGCAGCTGGAGCTGGAACATCCCAAGAGTTGGACTGACTGACTTGTATAACAATATGGTATCACTCACCTGAATCCCAGTGCTCAATGTCCTTTATTCAACTTTATATCATAATATAGAGTCCATGAGCAGAAGGAAGCATCCTCTGACAGGAGATCTGGGCCATGAAGCGAACCACGGAAACTGCAAGCTCAATTCGTGCACCATGGATCGAAACCGCACTCCGTACTAACTTACAGAAGTCGAGATCACGATTACAAAGTTAGCCAATAGACCTTACAGCACATCGAGGGGAATAGCAACTGGAACATCGATTAATAGAGGAATAGTGATGTCATCTATCAAGTCTTTCCTGCAACCGGTGCTGGAAGACATTCCTACGCTGAACCACCACGACATAGTCATGGTGCAGACCACGCAAAACGTCCCTTCTGTAGCAGACAGGCATTTATGAATTTATCTGATCATGAAAGCCAGGTGCAAGAAGAACAACAGCAAGTCATTAGCAAGTCATGTACAGGTATTATATCCGCGAGAACTCATGTGAGTTTCGCCGTTAACAGAAGAATTTGTAGACTTTCTTCCATATCGGCCAAGCCGCCTGCTCAGCACGCTCCTCTTCGATGAGATGTTGGATGTCGAATTCCCGACGTCCGGTGTTGAGGTCCATATCCTTGGCTCGGATGAACGGAGTCCTGTACCAGAACTTGTAGACGATGTAGAATAAGATGACGATCGGAGCGGCCAAATACACCGAGAAGAAGTTCTCGACCAGATCGCTGGCGCTCATCGAACCGTAGCCGACCGGGGCAAAGCCGACCCAAAACTGGGCGACGAGGACCAGGCAGTTGAAGATGAAGCCGATCCAGGAACCGAAAAGACCGGCCTGGGACTTGTAGGGCAATTCATCCACACTGTGGCCCTGGACCTTCCATCCTTTACGGAAGCGGATGTGAGCGAAACAAATGGAACCCCAGGTGAAGATTGAAGACAGGCCGGAGATGGCGACCATCCATAGGAACGCCTGATCCCGCTTGTCCGAAGCAGCCAGGAAGCACAGGAGACCCAGGGCGGAGGCCAGGAGGATGGAAAAGAGGGGCCGTCCCTGACGATCGATGTAGGCAAGGAAACTGGGTGCCTGGCCCTGTTCAGCCAGGGCGGCGAGGGTACGAGAAGATCCGTAGACGGACGCGTTGCCCACGGACAGAACCGCAATCATAATGACCACGTTCATCACGGAGTCCAAGCCACTGATGCCAGCATTCTTGATGGCAAGGACGAACGGAGATGCTTTGGCGTCGGCGGAAGATGACCCACTCAAAAGACGGTCATCGGTGTATGGGACCAGGAGACCGACAATGGTCAGGGCCACCACGTAGAAGATGGCGATCCGCCAGAACACCTGCTTGACGGCACCGGGAAGAGATTTGCGGGGGTTTGCTGTTTCTGCCGCGGCAAGACCGACCTGACTATCTGTCAGCCCTGAAAATCACGGAAGGGTGTGTTGTGGGTATAACGGGGAAGGATGCTTATATACTGACCAATTCGGTACCGGCAAAGGCGAAAGCTGCGTTGACAAAGACGCTGCAAAGACCCTTGAATCCATTGTTAAAGGCGCCTGGATTATGCCAGTATTTTCCACCGATGTAACCGCCATGAGGACCGCCACCGCAGTTGAGGATGATACCCAAGATGCTAGAAAGAAGGCCAAGTCAGCGCCTCTGGCTGTTTACAGACTTGAAAGAGGGAGGAAACTGACATAAATCCGATGACGGCAATGACTTTGATGATGGAAAACACAAACTCGGCCTCACCGTAGCCTCGAACACCAAACAGGTTAATGGAGACGATGAGCACCCAGAAAATGGCGACCCAGGCAGCCGGCGAGACGCTGGAGTCCCAGTAGCCCACCGTAATGGAGGCGGCGACGATTTCCAGGGGTAATACGACCAGCCATTGCAAGGCGTAATTCCAGCCCATGGCAAAACCCCAGGCAGGATCGATGAAACGGGTCGAATAGGCGGCGAACGAACCGGCGACGGGGTACAAGACGGCCAATTCACCAAGAGCATGCACGGTGCAGTACAACATGGCACCGATCAGGATGTAGGCAATGACGACGGACGCCGGACCACCCGAATGGAGGACAGTGCCCGAGGTGACGAACAGACCAGTGCCTGGACTAGGTTAGTTCGCGAAAGCGGCTGCAGGAGGATTCTTCTCATTCATACCAATAGAGCCACCGATTGCGATCATCTGAAGGTGACGGCTCTTCAGGCGGCGCTGCAGCGGCGAGTTGGCGGTGTTGGCGGCAGCCGTCTCGACATCGAAGACTTTGCCATTTGCTCCAACCTGACCCCGTTTCGTGACATGGGCATTGGGATCCCGCTTGAAGCTGTCGATAATCCGCCTGCCGAGGGACCCCCGCGTGGTTTCAGTCTCTCCGTAAGCGGGGAGAGGCGCGGTGGCAGTGTCGGAGCCGAGAGTGGCCTCCTTAGTAGCAAGGTCTTTCTCCATAACAGGCAATCACCGTATCCTTTCCTTCCAGAATTATATTCTGACGTTTCTTTGTTCCTTCAGCCTTTGTTCTCCGTCAGGAGAGAAGCCGTGAGACGTCGGGCCCAGTCTCTGGGAAGAGGAAAAATAAAGAAGGCACGACCGGTTGTGTCCCGGTTGGGAAGGTAGCAGGGGGTGCCAGGCGACGCCGGCAGGATCACGTCCAACAAAGCAGAGCCTGGATTAAAACCAGAGCGACACGTGAGAAAAAGTGAAACGGGGGAAAAGGAAGCAAAGGGAATCGCAACGACTATATACGAATCCGGGGCCGTGGGAGCCAGCCTGGGCCACGGAACCTCCCCTCTGCATTTTTCCTAGTCTGCCACACTATTCCCGGAGAACCGTGCTGCAGCGAAGGAGGGGACTGCCGTCACGAGATGGGTTGCCTGCACGTCGAGAACGGGCTCAACCGCGCAACCAATGCTGTGGATGAACCGGCCGGGGTCGCCGCGAGTGTCGTTGGCTTTTCCACTCCACGGATTGAGGGCGGGGAACGAGACCGGGGGCGAGAGCAGCGGGAATAATGTTTGGCCGCGCTGATTGGCTGGGGGGGGTCTTGGGGCTTCCGTCTTGGGGAGGACTCGGAAACCTTCCTCCCTGGTGCTTGCCCGGGCAGGAAACCACGCAGCTGCCTCTGCAAGTGGAAGCGGGCCGTCTGATTGCGTCTGGGCATCAGCCCGCCCTCGCTGCCGCCAGCACAGTGCCGTAATTGGCAGGACTGGCCCACCAGCGCCTGGAGGCTCCCTGCTGCGACCTCGTGATAGTGCTATCTGCTTTGTGTGCGTAATAAGCTTCCGTAATGATGACTGCTGGGCTTCCCCAGAAAAGCCTGGTCGTGCCAAGCAATCACCGGAAACCCAAAAAGTTTAATGAAAAGACCGTGGGCCCGTGGCAATCCTCAACGCCAAGCCTAGGTCGCGCTGAGGGCCAGATCTGCAAGAATTATTGCCTGCCGCACAAACTCATTCCTGCGTCGGCATGACTGCCTTCAGCAACCGCCCGGTTCCCGGCCGCATGCGGCAGCATGATGACTGCTGCGACCATCTGCAGAGGAGCCGTTGATTAGACCGTTGGCGCGTGCCGCCTCAGTCATGCTGGTCTCATGCACCGAAGCCTCGTAGAACACAGTCACGCCTTCTTTCGATCCATGGCGCGCGCAACCGCTAAGGAGCCAACCGCTCCGTACAAGATCGACAGCGATAATATCTACAGTGGAGTCGGCCCAGCGGCTCAGCCAAACTCGTGCCACAGAAACTTCGCTCCTCCAGCCATCTTAACAGTGGACGTTTTATCACTTGGCAGCAAGCAGAACCAAATCCTATTCGAGAATGGACAATCTTATCGATGAGACGGTAATCCGTGGGAAGCTGACTGTTGACCCACAATTGATAGTGAGTGATTATTGCCCTGAGTCTGTGCCATTCACGCCTGATCCTCGGGCTGATTTCGAAAAATATTTTGAATAATATCAGCAGTGATAAGATACACAGGGCGGCTACCTTCCACCTGTCCCATAGTCAGGCACCCTGCGGTATTTTCAACCTTATTCTCGCCTGATACACGCAGAATCCTGGGTTCTAGATTCTGGTTGTCCAGTATCGGCCCCGTGAATGCCCGGGCTGTCGCTTAGTCCAGCGCCATCGGCTTGTCAATCGCCATTAACTCTAGCGCCCGATCCATGACCGTCGAAAGCTTGCTGCTGGAAGTTTCAGGCTTGGAATGTTTCTGGAAGCGTCAACGACTGCGTTGTGAGATTCCTCATATCCCTGTCTCCGGCATATGTCGGTATACGTCGGTATAGAGTGTATGGAGTAGGAGACAATAATGTTGACTGCTCGTGACTGCAAGGTGCCACCGGGCACAGTGCGCGCTACAGTGCGAGATTTAGGTCCTTGCCCTACGGACTACTCGAGAGACGATCTTCTCCACTACTGTGCCGGCAGCTATTGCACACTCGGTATGGGGCAATTAATCGTGCTCATTATTGCGTGTCTCAGATGCTGCCAATAATAAATATCGCCCTCATTAATTTACAACTTGCCATCTTGCCCAGTTGAAAATGTCAAGGCCACGTTAAGTTGCTCCAATAATACCTGTAGGCGTTGATGTCTACTCTGTAGTTCCTTTCTAAAACCGCAGTCGCCTCAGTGCGGACTGTTGAAGGCTCAGTGACGCTCTCGCACCAGATAATTCGAGAGAAGTCCCCAGAGCCAAATGTGGCGCACCTATTCAACCCCTTCTTAACCTCCTAGCCGCCAGTCAAACGGTTCGACAGCGAACGTGGCGTGGCTTTCTGTGCTTCGCGTCTTTTTGGCCCAATATCTCGCAACCACGCTACCTAACTCCATACCTCCATTTAACTCAGTTTTGGCCATCCTGGAGTTGGTGTCCAGCGATCCACCACCCCCTTTTGTCCGGGGGTGGATAATGGATTGGTGCTCAGTCTTCAGATTCGATGGGTGGATGCGGGGGTGGCGGATACTGTTATGTAATAGATACTACAATAACCTCGGTGCTCGACTCCAAGAGCCATTCGCGCTTTCTGGGACTGGGAAAACGCATGGCTGGAAAGGGTCCAGCTGATCATCATTACTATTCGTCCCCTGAATATGACAAAACGATCATGTTGGCTACACCTGGAGTCTGGAGAACGCGGGGTGTCTTGGCTTTATGGAGCCTCATGGAGCAACTCCATTTCTAACATGCCATCGACTCTGGAGAACTGGAGAACGTGGTTCAAGGTGGAGCTTTCATTTGTGAAGCTTGAAGATTGACAGTTGCTTGTGCTCCTTCTCCGCAAAACCTACTCCGCAAGAACAAGCAAGGCTGTGTTCTCCGTAGATAGCCACGTGCTGGCGCTGTGATCCCCGGATTCTCCATACGTCAGTATCCTCAGATAACCGAATTCCATATCCTCCATCCGGGGTGAGATGCGGAAATCTTCGGCGGGTCTGTTTGACTTTACTCCGCGGCTATGAGGATCTTCATCTTCCAATAGGTCTGACCTGACTATCAAGGTTATTCAGCTAAAGTTTGTTGGGATAATAATCATGAATGATTATCCTTAGCCAGGGACTTACTTCCCCTGAAACGGATGTCATCAGTTCAACTTGCTACGCACTGATCACTCGCCCATCCCGGTCTACTCAATACAGAGGAGGACGTGGTTAGTTTTAGGGGATAATCATTAATAACTCTAATCAATCCTAGAATTCATGTGACCTGTCTATCCAAAGACAATGGCAGGACAAAATTAAAATGACAATGATGGAAGCAAACCAGAACTAGCAGCCAAATGTAGACTTTTATATTATTATGCCCTGATCGTTGCGGATATGACAATATCCATATTCTCGTCCTGGATAACTTGCTTTTTTTTTTCGTTTATTGCAAGCCATATTTCATTTGCCACTAGACACTGACGGGAATTGTTATGGGTGTTGGAAAAAGTGGACTTCTGATACAGTTGTTCTGCAATCCCATCAATTATTCGTATCTGTACTTATATTTATGGTCAACATGGTCAACATCCAAGAGGTGCAGGAATTAGGCATCTCCAATAACAACCACTATGCCTTTTTTAATTGTATTGTTCTTTTAAGGAAATTTTGCTCATTACTCATTCAAGTCAGACATATAACATCAAATGCTAGCTCATTCTTCTTTTTGTTCTCTATTTCTTTTTTGTCCTTACTTTCTGCACCCTATGAGCTGCTCACAGGGCCCTCGCCTCCAGGAATTAACTAGAGATAGTCTTCATTAGCCAGTGTCCGAGACGAGAGTCGACTCTTGAAGACAACATATGCTCACCATGCAGATGTTATTCCCGTTAAGCAGGATCTTTGGAAGTTTCTCCTGATTGCCGGAATAATCGCTGGTTGTCATGTTAGACGAATTTTGACAGATGTGAACCCCGAAAAAAAAAAGGAGGAAAAGAAGACGTACAACTCTGTTACATCTTCCAACACCATGTCTGTAACTTCGGTTAGCGTCTTCTATCATCACTGCTGGACTGAGACAAAGATTGAGGGGATACATACTGACATAATCATCAAAACCAAGCAAAGTTCCTGCGAATTCTGTTTATACATAAGTTAGCGGGGAGATACTAGAGCGTAATACCTCTCTTCTCGTTTCGGCTAACTAAAGAGCCGTTCAGGGTTGAAACCTACCCTTGTCGCCTTTCATAACCACCCAGATTTTAGAACCGACGCATTTGTCGATCAGCTCTGTATTGACAGGTTAGCGCTGTCTCAAAAAAGCAAACAGAGTTCCTACGGTGTTCCTAGACGCTTACCAAGAGGCAGTAGTTGGGAAGCCATTGCGAACGAATAAGGATTTCGAGTGCAATCTCCAGCAGTCGATCTCACCCAGCTGAGACAGGCGCTAGAGGTAAAATAGAGCGCAAGTCCCCCGAAGTCTGCCTAGCTACTCTGAAGAAATCTAATAAAGACTGAACGCGCTTCTGTAGATGATATGATGTCGATGGACCACTCACGTGGCTGCCTCGCACTTAAAGATTTCCCTGGCCGAGATTCTAACCAGAACAGGATTAGTCCCACTACCACTGAGCTCGATAAGGGATCAGTCCCCGAGCAACTTGTTAACGATACTCCGGAGTACTTTTGTCTTTGTGTTTGCCTTTCTCCTCAAAGATTTTTTCACAATGCTTGACGTGCGAGCTGTCTTGTAACCAAGTTCCGGTGCTGCTTGAATTGGCTAGATCCGGGCAGTAACTATGGTCGCTTGGAGCTATGCGAATTCGCCTACAATACGCAGCGGGCACACCTCGCGGTGCTGCCGCTGCGATTCAAAAAGGCCGCGGATATGTTGACAGATTTGACGAGTTTCCATCGGCCCGGATCTACAGGCGAATGTTCGTATTTTCTATCTTACGAATTGGGCTTTGTATTAGCTGACCAGGCATCTGCAGCGGGTTCGCGATCCTCCCCAGTCATGCCCGCGGTCCCTGTGTCCGTTCCCCATGTTGTAGCTCAGGTCCCCTGACCGTTCATTCCGGACGGTCTTTTTCGAGCTGCCCATCTCTCGGTCAAGCGGCGTCGAAAGATGCCGACGAATTTGACGACTCTGAATTGCTTGACGAACTTGCCGATTCTAGTGGTGATACTTTTAGCGATCTTGGAAGCATGATTCGGAAGAGGGGAACTGGTGAAGCCCACAGAAGACCTGTTGCGCTAAGGCCGGTTTCAGCTGAGGAAGCATCGCGCATTCGACAGCGAGAGGAGGCTGCTAAACTTTATGCGCAGCTACAAGCCGTTAATAAATTTCGCGAGAAAGTTCGCAACGTTGAGTCTGAAGTGGCTTCACTTACACCTTTCAGCCATCTTGTTTCTGAGTTTTTCGATGCCAAATATTTCGCGCTCGACTACGAGCTCTCTCGTTGCGCGCGGTTCAGCGGAGATCTGGGACGCGAATTCCGTCTATTGAAATTCTCCAGAGAGGTCGCCAACATTGGATTGAGAGTGTCGGCTTTTTCCGATGCCTTTAGGGAACTAGTACATGAACTCAACGAAGAGTTTATAAGACCTCGTGTTTCGGCAAGGAAGAAAGTTGACAGACTTTTGAACTCGGCCCATTTAGCTGAGAAAAAGTACAGGAACTTACAAGACTTATTTCTTACAATTCACACGCGAGGTCGTCTGATGTCCCAAATCCTAGAGTCCCTCGCCAACGATCGGGGCGTCCCTTCAGAACGCCGCGAAACTTATCGTGCACTCAGGGTTAAGCAAATAGACGTCGATCGTACGCTTGTCAAAGCAGGCCACTATTTCCGCACATTCTACCTGATTCGAAAGGAATTGGAAGGTCCCTTTGGTGCTTCGTCTTTAACACGTCTCCTCAGTCAGTATGCACACGTGCCGCCTGACATGCGAGCCAGGTCTAAGACATGGGCACCCTCGATAAAAGCCTTGATTGGGCCTAATATCAATCAACGGAAGTATGCACCGAGCTACATCATGCGGCGATTTTATATGCGGCGCTTGTCGAAGTCGTACTCGGCACGCGATCCGCGACTGAACATCTTTTGGAGGCAACTAGATGCCTTAGCCCCGTTTGAGCTGAATTGGGTGGCGTCAAATTATATGAGCAATGAGATCATGTATCTGTTTATGACCCTAAGATACCCAAGTCCGGGTCTCTGGTCAAATCTGGACTTCAAGGCACGCAGAAAACACGCTTATGATCTAAAAAGTCTTCAGAAAGCTTTGATTACACCCGCGGCGATATCGCGGCGGAATTACATTGGTTGAGAAGGCTCAACTGGTTGCGATTGAAGTCCGAAACTAAAATCCATAATTTAGGCGGAACCGCATTCACTGTTCGAAGAGGGCTGTTCACTCCAGTCGCGCCTCTAAGTCAGGATCTTTCTCGCTTCGATGATTATATCTTCAAGACCAGTGAGTATATAACGCAGACAATGGTCTTGCAGGTAATAACCGAAAATCACATGAAGAAGTGGTGGACTCCCATGAAAGTAGCGTCTGACAGGGCGGAACTTCATGAAGAAGAGGAACTCGACGATGATGGAAAAGAGGACGATGTTGAGCGGCAAACTCAAAGTGAACTCCTCCCTCTGGGTGCGGAATCCGAACCACAAAACAATGATACATCTAGCATGAAAGCGCGCACACGATTCTCCGTGCGCAGAGCAATGAGCTCCACCTCATCTTCACCTTTGACACTGCGAGTGAGGGATCGGATGAAGCCGCTTTTCGCCTTCAAGAAATCGTCTACACTATCAGCAAGGGCACGAGGTTCGAAGACTCTCAATGATGAGGTTATTACGATGCAGGCGAAATTGAATAGAGGTACCCCAGGCAATCGTAGTAAGAGAAGCGCAAAGAAGTGGAAATCTGCACCAGTGTCTGCCACGTCCGAACTCGATCTCAGAGGGCTTGAGGAACTTGCAGAGAAGGCCAGCCGATCACAAGGCCAGCCACTTCGCAAACCCAAATCCCCAAAGCGAAAACCATATAAGGTACAAAGTAACCCGTGGAAATCAGCCGGGGCTGGCAACCGAAGACGGTTGCAAAGCGAGGGATCCTTGAAGGACTCTCCCAGCGGTGCGCAACCAGTACCACAGCCAAATGACACTGCCATAACAATAGGCCATTCACGGCCGAAACGAAAGCGGTTCTACGGGCCTTCTAGTTCTGCATTTCCACGACGATGTAGCACCGTACCTGGAATTCGTGGAGGCAGCTCGGCCGATGGCCATTCTGAGAACGATTTCAGCTTCGTGGCAGACTTCTCAGCAGCTCGAACCGACCACAACGCGTTGAATTCAGAGAATTTGGAGTCGACAGGCTCGAGCCCCGACACGGAAACAGCCATCAATGGTTTTACGGCCCAGGTCACTGGCTCTGACGATGAGAAGACTTCGACGCCTCAATTCTGGAGCCATAATCTGCACAAGGGACCTGGGGGTAAGGGCATCCTCGTCCATTATTGCAAAACCCTTGAAAATACGGAACGGATTGCGAGTCATTTCCTCCAGAGTGATGTAGTGGGCTTCGACATCGAGTGGAAGCCCCAGACCTCCTCCTCCACAGCCAGCATCAAGGACAATATATCTCTGATCCAGCTAGCGAATGAGGAGCGAATAGCCCTCTTTCACATCGCGCTTTTCCGACCTGGTGAAACGCTTGACGAGCTTGTTGCCCCGTCGCTTAAGGCTGTGCTTGAATCTTCTAATATAACCAAGGTGGGCGTATCCATCAAAGCGGATTGTACACGCGTCCGCCGATATCTGGGAATCAACGTGCAGGGCCAGCTGGAGCTCAGCCATCTGTACAAACTGGTGAAATACTCGCAGTCCAATCCGAAGCTGATCAACAAACGTGCGGTGAATCTGAGCCTGCAAGTCGAGGAGCATCTGGGTCTACCACTGTACAAGGAGGATGAGGTCAGGCGCAGTGACTGGTCACGGCCCCTGGACTACCGTCAAGTTCAATGTAAGTTTATATATGAGTATTAAGAACATCAGAACATTTTGTGGTTAAGTGGTTAAAAAATGCAGACGCCGCCGCCGATCCATACGCCTGCCTGTGTCTGTACCACGTCCTGGAGGCCAAGAGAAAAGCGCTCAACCCGGTCCCCCCGCGACCGGCCCATGCGGAACTCAACCTTCCAATCCTTCTGGCAAATGGAAAACCCGTTCCTACAAGGGACGATTCCCAAGAACCAGAAGAGAACGAGACGCCGGTCGAGGAATCCGCCCAGGAGGTGGAGGAGGAGCTACACGCCGCCAAGTCTCCGTGACGTCGAATTAGTAATACTCGTTCCCTGCTTCTTTGCTTTCTAAAAAATGGATACCAAAACGGATCATCCTGGACATAGATATATACCTTGGTGTTGGATATGGCTTCTTTTCTCAAATTATTTTTTTTCCGCTGTATTGCACGATACTCATCTCATCTCATCTCTGTATTTGGTAACTATATGTAGATAGATCTCCTTCTTCCGATATATTTAGAATCCGATATATTTAGAATTGAGTATCGTTTTTTTTTCTTACCCGCAACATGCTGACATTCACAAAAAAAAAGAGCAAGATGGAGAAGCTCGGGAATAGAAAAACAAACCTAAGGGGATTTAATTTATTTGATTTCAAATAGATTGTATTATCCAATGAAAAGAAGATCTGTATCCGTTCCGAAGAAGAATCCTATCGTGTATATATGTCATGGAATGGACCAAACAAGAGATGTTGGAATTGGTAATATCATATCAACGTAACCCTAGTAAATATATACATATCTACGATTGAAAAAAAGAAAAAAACGCCAATACCTTGACCAAACGCCTGTGGACGATGCTCCCAATGTGCATGCATGCATGCATGCTTTCTTTCATATAGCATACCTGACCTCATTCAATGTTTACCTCGTTAGGTACCTAAGTAACCATCTATCTACCCCCTTACCGGCAGGATCTTGGATGCCAGCACCTCCTGCCGACAGAGCGGGCACTCTGGTTTCTCGCGGACCCAATCCCGGATACAAGTCCAGCAGAAGACGTGTCCGCAGGTCGTCACGCTGGGGTCCTTGAACAACTCCAGACACAGCGTGCACTTGCGCTGCTGGCCCGCAGGGATCCATGGCACGGCCGAAGGGTTGGCCGACAGGTCGTAGCGGGGAGTGGAAGCAGGCAGAAGCGGGATGGACGGAGGGTGCTGTACGGATGGCAGCAGCATATCCTGCTTGCTGCGCCCGTCTGCATGGAAACCAGTTGCGGTACCGGTAGCGGACAACCCCGGTTCCTCCTCCGCCTCCTTCTGGATAGACGCCAGGGTCTGCCGAACGTGGACGATTCCCTGCACTGCCATCTGCAGGACGAGCAGAACACCAAGCACCTCGTATCCGACGCGTTGTTCGCTCTCCCCGATCCGCTTCGTGAACACATATCGGAGGCCCCAAAGACGCTTGGAGAGATGATAGTACGCGCCGGTAAAGTAGAACGTTGCCAGACTGAGGGCGTAAATTGGAGACAAGGATGTCAGCGAGTCGAGGTGTTCGAGGATATATTTCTGCAGGCGAAGAGTGGTGAAGAACTTGTTTTTTGACGCGGCATCTTTCTTCAGCGAATTTAAGCGCGACGCGACGCTTTGCGCCATCGCTGCCTTTGCCTGCTGTCGGGCGATGCTGCGCTCCAGTTTTGCCCGGATCTTCTGTCGGAGGTAGGGAAGGAAGCGACCCAATATCCACGGCACCAAGATACTGCTCAGGATGTAGCCTGCGCGCCGACCGATTGAAGGGAGTTGCAGCGTGTCATCTTCCAGCTGCACAATGTCGCAGTATTCCTCGCCCAGCGTCCGGTTGCCGATCAGAGTGGTCAGGGAGAAGTACAGGATCTCGGTCAGATTCTTGATCGTCTCCGCATGCGCATGCGCGTACCGCGCACCTTTCAACGACCGGATGATCGACTGTGCTTGGTTGGTAAGGGTGCTGGTTATGAAGCCGTCTTTCTCATGGGATCGGATGATATCCGGGGAAGTTGCAAAAGGGTAGAAATGGGTCGTTGGCGCGGACGTCGATGACGATTGTGATGATGAGGAGGAAGACGACGACGACGACGCTGAGGCGTCGTCAGCCATATTGTCCCTTTTTCGGCGAGAAACGCCTTGCAGCAGTCAGAAGCTGTGAAAGAAGCTGCTCTGGATCAAGGCATGACTCTTGATCGGAATGATCGAACAGCATCCACATCGTATCTCGGATCGTATCTGGGGCGTCCCGACGTGCCTCGGTAATCTTCACGTGATTACCCTGTTAGGATTAGCGCAATGTTTTCCCGAAGCGGTATGGCGGCTATGGCCCCTGTCCGTCCCGAATCCCGATGCGGTTGTTATCACGTGATGACTACCCGGAACGGCAGCCGGGGCACGGGCCACAGGGGCTAGCGCTCGCTGGCCGTCCGATCCCGAGCGCCGACGGCCAGACCGGCACGAGTTGGGAAATCATGAAGCCAGCCATGTCTTCTTTATCGTCCATCTCGAACGTGGTATGTCTCGAACTGTGCTCCTCTCACCCTGAGTCATTCCTTTTTCCTTTTTTTCGCTTTTGGGAGAGTTCGTAATAATTAATCCTCTCCATATTCCCTGTTTCTTCTTTTCTTCTTTTTTATCCCCGTTTCTATTTTTAATTGTTCAAGCTGTCCATTTCTCCCCTCCCCCTCTCCACCCCTGACCCTTTTTCTTCAGCAAGACTGAACACCTGTGCCTTGGTCAATGGATGTAAGCCGTCACCCGCCGGCGGAGTTGGATGGCTTCAGCAGCTTCCTTCCCTTGCCGTTTCGCATTGCGATCATACTGGTTGCTGGTAAGGGTTGTCCGCTATTTATACAAGGAATCGATGTCGCTCCGGACGTGAGACTAAGACGTTACACGAACAGGTTTCTGGGGATGGGGTGTCAACCTCCACTACTTGTATTTGTCAAAAATTGTAGGCATCTTCCCGCCGCCAACGACTGGCAGGACTAATGGCTTGGTAAAACCTTGGCTGACTGCGTGGCAGGATGTTCCCGCTCTGATCCGGTATCCATCTCGCCAGTCGCCTCACCAGACCCCTCACTATAAGTCGGCATATCATCTAGCTACCCTCCTCACCATACCTCTTGGAGTCTGTCTGCTCATATTCTGGGCGGTCACGCACGGCTCTGCTGAGCTGATCCAATCGTGGGAGGTCATCCCGCAGTCCTATTTCGTGATCCTTTTGATCCTCCTGCTTCTACCCTTTCACCGTCTGTCTCGTTCCGGACGACACAGATTCCTGCAGGTGTTGAGGCGTATCAGTCTTGGTGGACTGGCAGAGACGCAAGATGGGAAGTTTGGGGATATTCTTCTTGCCGATGCCCTCACGAGCTATGCGAAAGTCTTGGGGGAGATCTATGTGAATTTCTGCTTGTTCTTCTCACGACAGACCTCGAGTACAGGCAAGCCAGACCGGACTTGTGGAGGAGAGCTGGCGGTGCCCTTGATTATTGCCATTCCGAGTGCCATCCGACTGAGGCAATGTCTGATTGAGTATATCCGCGTACGACGGGCCCCGCTTCGCGGTGATGGCTGGGGAGGACAACATCTGGCCAACGCTCTGAAATATGCGACAGCTTTCCCTGTTATCCTCTTCACAGCCTTGGAGCGGAATTACAGCCCCCTCAAGACTCATGGGCTCAGCGAGGTGGCCGTGTCGCGACTTTGGTATGATCTCTCCCAAAAAGAGAAATGGGCCAGCCTTACTGACTTAAAATTCCCTCCAGGGTTTTGTCTTGTTTCATTAACTCGGCCTACTCCTTCTACTGGGACGTCGCTAAGGATTGGGACCTGACCTTGTTCTCTCCGAGCAGCAACCGTCGGGATTATCCGTTTGGGCTGCGACGACACCGAGCGTTTTACAACAATGGACTGTACTACGGCGCGATCATCATCGATCTCATTCTGCGTTTCACCTGGGTGTGCCGCCTCTCGCAGCGACTGGAAAAGATCAACCACGTCGAAAGTGGCATCTTCCTGCTCATGTTTTTGGAAGTTGCCAGGCGATGGATGTGGGTCTTTTTCAGAGTTGAGACCGAGTGGGGTAAGTATACGTCTCGCTTTCATAGTTGGCATGTTATGATCGTAGAAAAGATGCTAATGAACTTCTCATCTTGCAGTCCGAAATACCAGAGGCCCCGCACCGGACGACATACTCCTTGGTGAATTTACCGGAAAGATCGACGAGGATTGAACACACCTGCATACTTAGAGGTTAAAGGTTAAAAGTCATTGTTGGCGGACGCTTGCTTCATATCATCCATTCATAGATCGCTAGTGCTTTTTTATACCCCGTGTTGCTGTTGACAACTTCTTGTACTCTGCTTATTTTCATTTTTCCTTTCAACTTGCTATCTATGACAAGATAAGCTAAAGAAATGTCTTGCTTTGTTTCTTGGTTGATTTGATTTGGTTGGTTCTGTGTGAGAAGATTACTGCTTAATACTGTAGATAACAGAAATCCTTTTTTTTACCTCTATCTCTTGGGCGGTGGTGGTCGGGGAGGCTTTTTGTGTCCTTCATGGGTATATTATATCCTAATGTCTACCTTTTGGTTTTTTTTTATTACCCGGTCTATCTCTCCATAGTATTTTCCGGTGCAGTGCAGGTGTGGTGTTGTTTTATCTTGAACCGATTAGCTGAATGGGCTAGATAGACTGGTCTGGACTAGATTGGGCTGTGGCTTGAGAAGACAAGACAGAAAGGAAGAGAGAATAATGGGAAAAAAAAGAAGAATTTGAGTTTTCTTCTCTTGCAGTTGTTATGTGTAACAAGCCTATCCTGTCTTGTCTGTCTATGTCATGCATATACGGTGATTGATAAATATCAAGTAGCAGTACCTGGGGTATGGAGTACATGTATAGATAAAAGAGGGACAGAATTTAACTGGCTGGCTGGCTGGCTGGCTAGTTGGTTGATATAGTGATATACCAGGTCATGTGTATCACGTATGCTGACCTATTCAGTTCAGATTTCATAAATGATGACATTCATTCATCATGTGTATATATCTTACATATTCATACCAATTCAAGTAATAGTTTTGTTTAAGTTCTGATGCATACAGTACGTAGATAGACTCGAACATGGGCAGATAAGGAGTCACTATGACAATAATATATATGCTATATACTATATACCATGACTGATTGCGATCCCAGCAGACAAACAGATAGACAGACAGACAGACAGATAGAGACATAGATGAGATATGAGATACCCAATTGAATAAACAATGTTGCTTGTTGTTGTGCCCGATTCAAATGGAAGTACATGTCAAAAACCGAAACAGAAACAAGTTCAAACAACAGCAGGAGAGAGAGAGAAAAATACAAGTAACACGAAAGAACAAACAAAAACCCCTTGATCTCAACGCCATATTATCCAGTAAAAAAAACAAGATGACCGCGAGAATTCTTTTCTCTCTTCTCAAACCCATTAAATTGAAAACCATTTATAAAACAAACCATTTAGGAGAGGGGGAGTGTGTCCGTCCGTCAGTCAATCAACACCGAAGAAAATTTCCATTCCCATCATTTTATTTCTTTTCTCTTGAATGACCATGTACGAAATTTATGGTGGTAAGCTTGCTGATCGAAACCATCATGATGGAATATAAAAACTCGGTGTGACGGTCATCATCGAATTATGTCCCCCCAGGATGACCTGCAGGAGCGTGATTCTCGAACAGATCCTCTAGGTAAGCACTCGGTGCTCGGCCTTGTGGCGGTGCATTCAGATTGACAGTACTGCTAGATGCACCCAAATGGGATGCCCTGGTCTGCGGTGCATCCGCGCCGCTACTCGGAGGTAGTGATGGTGATCCGGGCGGGCTGGGTCCGAGATTGCGACTGTGCCCCCCTCCAGGAGCTGCAGCTCCGGCGGAATAGTACCCCGCTGGCAGATAGGTCGATGCTCTGTTAGCCGCCGGGTTCAGGCCTGCACCAGCAGTAGGCGAGTAGAAGAGACTGCTCTGCGCGCCAGGACCCTTGGAAGCGCCCATGTGGCTGTGGCGATGGCTCGGACTGAGCTTCTCCATGGACACGGAGGTGCCGTCCTTGGGCCTGTGAGAACGGTGACGAGAATGTCTTCTGGACCTCCGCTTGTGGCGCAGGAGGGTCTTGCTTTCTTGCTGGGCTTGCTCCATGGCAGCACGACGCACCGAACGGTTGATCGACCAGGCCACCAGGGCTCGCCAGGCTAGCACTGACAGTCCAATGAATCCCAAAGCCGCTCCAACGGCGATAAACACGGTTCCTTCAGGCAGGTTGGACTGTCGCATGTATGGTGCATTCTCGGTTGGGGGAACGGTGGCAACCGGGATAGAATACGTCGAACTTGTCGCGGCCGAAGTCAACGTTGGTAGAGTATCCGTAGAACTGGTACTTGTCGTCAGTGGCGGTAAGCTGTCCGTAGATGAGGTATCTGTAGTTTGGGCTGTAGTTTGAGCTGTAGTTTGAGCTGTAGTTTGGCCTGTGGTGGCCGCCGCAGTGTCTGTAGCTGTCGTCGCACCATTGGTAGTGGCTGCTGCAGTCGTGGTGTCAGTGTTTTCGGTGGTGGTCGCAGCTTGGGCAACAACTTGACCAGCCATCAAGCTTGCCAGCAACAGAACGAGCGAAAGAGTAGGCTGGACGCCCAGCCTACAGCGGAGGGGATTCATCGTGAGACGGCTGCTCAGGTTGACGTGTCTGACGAAGACCCGGGAATGAATGCGATATGCAACCTCAGAGTCTCGCACGTTAAACTAGTTCATTTGATTCCCATCACTTTCTCAATATAACCGGTCGACGAAAGAGAATGACCGTAAGCTTGATGGTGCCGGTCTTCAATCCGCTACTTCTCGCTGGATACGCACTGGCGTAGGTGCCTTGGTCAACAAAGCGAGCGTGAGGAGCAGGGAACGAGAGGCAGCGATGGACGATTGAAAAGCGTGGATGAACAAGAGAGTGAAGGACAACGAAGGCAGCGAGTGTTTGTAACAGACGGAGAGGGGCGATCGAGGCCTGTCTCAGAGCGGCGAACAGCCTGCGGTCCATCCCTGCGAGGCGGAGGCCAGCCCCTAACTCCCTGGAATGGAATGGCCCTGCGGCTGATGCTCGCGCCAACCTGGTTGGGAGACGCAGATCACGTGAAGCTATATTTAGTTTCCCCAGCGACCGTACGGAATCGACTGTCCAGTATACTTTGTGATGTCTATGACTACGGAGTACGTGATTCTGATATCAATGCTAATGACTTGAAAGTGCACCCTATATATATGGGACAGATTGGATAACATATGCAATTAGTCCTTCCACGCTCGCTGGCGAGTCAGAGCCGATCAGGCATCAAAGATGAACAAATACGCTAGCAATCCGAAAACACATCAAAACACAACCAGCATTTCATCAGAAGCTCGAGGCCGTATAGTGGATAAAGACTCGGTGTGCTTAATATACACGGAGTCACATAGATGGTGATATATCACTGCTGCTTCTTCTGTGAGCCAGGCGCAGTGTCCTTCTCAAACGCAGCATAAGGAACCTCCAGGCTTGTCAGAGCCGAGAACCCAACGTAGAAGATAACCAGGCAGACAAAGCTCGCGAGAAGACCCATGAAGATGCCTGGTAGGTCGTTAACAGGGTAAAGAACATAAAGCGTAATCGTAGAAACGTACCTGGGCTGAGGAACTGGTATTTCTGGAAAAGAGACTTGCTGCTGTCAGATTCATCCTGCCGAGCATGCCCGGTATAATCCCGTTTTAGCTGCATGTGAAGAGGCTCCTGGAATACGTCCGAGTTATAGACAACAGAGTCTGACTCCCCATTCTCCACAAATTCTCGGGGGGAAGTCACGTAGATCAAGGTATATTTGCTCGATGGAATTCGGTCAATGATGTCGGCGAGGAAGGCATCTACGAGAACAAATGTAAGCAATTGAACAGTCTGATGGGTTGAGTTGTACTTCGCACCATTGTCTGCGAGTTGTTGGGCCCGATTCGACCCCAAAGGAAGTGCCGGGAATGTCACATCAATCACCCGTGGACTCGACCCAAAGTTCATGGGGTAGGACCCCGCTGTCAAGTCGTTAGACCTCTAAACAGAGACCCTTGAACGTTGCCAGCAGCACTCACTTGATGCATCGATCTCGGTCACCTGTGCACCACACTCGTCCCTCAACCCGCTTCGAATAAACGACGGATCCAGTATCCCTGCCACCTCGGTGACGGTGAAATTTGACCGGATGGCCTTGTCTTTGCCCATCACTTTCTCTCGTAGCCGTGGCGCGGCCTTGCGGTCTGAATAGTCCGTGGCATGGACGCCCGGCTGCAAGGCAATGACGTAGTAGTCTGAAGGACATGTCTTGAGCTTGCTCCAGACATCTCCAAGTAGAGAGGTGGCAGTCTTGAGATGTGATGAGGACGTCGAGAACCTATTGCCATGTAGTGAGCAATCTCGTTTATCTTCGTCGCCGGTACAGTAACAACGTCGGGGTCGCGGTGGAGACGTACTCTGAGGTCGAGAAGAAGACGAATGGAGAAGTATCTTTGAATCCCTCGACGGCTGCAGCTCCAAGAGCCAGCAGCCAAAATCGACCCAGATGCATGATGCGATCTGCTGTATTAATATTCGGCGTCTCCGCAGGCTGCTTGCTTCTGGCAAGTTGACGTTCTACTAAGCTGAAGGGTGGCCCGAGGGCGGTCAAGCCACATGACGGGCGTGGGGAGCTAGCCCGCAAGACATTTTCATGCTAGGCTAGAAAATAAATACGGCCATTTTATCAGGCCGCAAAAAACGCCTCATTCCCCCAACTCCTTGTCTTGTACATAGGTCAAAAACAGGTCGAAAAGCCTGTATCATATTACAATGGCGCCTCACGCGAAACGGCGCAAATTGACCAGCGCCGTCGAAGAGATTACGTTCGATCCCGTTGCAAGGCATGAGTTCCTCACGGGGTTTCATAAGCGCAAAATGCAGCGTATCCGACAAGCGCAAGAATACGCACAAAAGAAAGCCCGCGAAGAGAGGAGGCTAGAGCGGAAAAAGGTGAGCACTTTTGTGTTGCTATGTACAATAGCTCCCGGTGCTTTTGCCAAGATCAATTGCCTGATTTTCGTCGTCCCTGCAGGTCCGAGAAGAACGAGCCGCGGAGTACCAGCGGATCCTCGAGGAGACTCGAAAACGTATCGAGAAGGACGTGAATAGCGACACAGATTCAGGGTCGGCAGATGATTCTGGTGAGGACGAGGAGGAATGGGAGGGATTCGACGAGCCCCCGCCGGTGGACTACGAAGCAGAGTATATCGACGAGGACAAGTATACGACAGTGACGGTCGAGGAGCTGGATACCTCCTCGAGGGAAGCACTCTACAAGCCAGAAACCAATGGCACAGATGGCGAGAGTAGTGACCAAGATGAGGACAACACGGGGGCTGTCGATTCGGTCCCCGATTCAGGTCGATCATCCGCTCAAGAAAAAGGAGTTAAAAAGACAGACAAGCCAAAGAAAAAACGGAAAAAGTTCCGCTACGAATCCAAAGCCGAGCGTCTCCTCAACCAACAGAAGGAACGTTTGGCGAAGCGGAGAAAGGCCAGAGCACGACGAGAGCGATAGCATACACTTATGGATACCTTGTTTTCCTAATAGCACTTACTGAACACTGAACAAGACTTCTTAGCCAGCAGCGATGACCCATTCCAGATGGAAAGACAGTTTCCATTAAAATGTTATCTATGTATGTACCACAGGCACCTGGAGGGGCAACACACGGGGAATAACGAGGAGAAAAGGGTTCAGAAACCAATCGATGCGGAAGATAAGACCGAGTGCCCTGGACGCGAGCGGGAGGAGCGGCAGGCTTCCTGCTGAGAGGAAAATAGAAGGTTTTGTTTAGGAAAGCGCATTGAATCGTCAAAAAAAAAAGGGGGCTTGGCTGACTGCAACGTTCTCCAGCACGTGCCACCTACGTATAACAGGCTTATAGCCAGGCTTTTAAACGTTGCTTATCGAAACCTCCAAGTCGTGCAGTTCCTTCTGCAGGTCTGCGTACTTCTTGGCCATCTCCTCGTACTTGGCCTCCCACTGGTCGCGAGCCGCCTCGAGCGCCTGGACCTTCCGCTCGTAGTGGCCAGCCTTGACGTCGGTCTGGCGAAGCCTGTCATACAGTTCAGTCAGTCGGTCCCTCACGATGGTAAGGCGCTTTGGAGATAGACGTACTTCTCGTTGGTTTCCCGCAGATTCTTGTCGGCCTGCTCGGCCTCCTCCTCGAGCAGTTGAAGACGCCTTTGCAAGGCTTCGTTCTGGGTGTCGTGCTGGGCACTCTGGTCGGCCTTCTCCTTGGCCTCCTTCAGGGCGGCTTCCAGCTTCTCTATTTCAGCCTCCAGCACCTGGTTGCGGTGCGTCAGGGACGTGATCTCCTGTTCCTTGGCCAGGTTCTCCTGCTCCAGCGCCTTGACCTTGTTCTTGAGCTCCTCCACCTGGGCCTGGGCCTCATCCGCCTCCACGCGGAGGGCGTTCATTTTCTGTAGAGCCAGGCGTTAGCATCTCCTCGCTGACGTAGTTGAGCCAGGTGAGCTCTACGACCAGGGAGTAGCAGTAGCAGCGTGCTCGACGGGGGGTTTCTGATAGGCACCGAGCTCACAGCTACCCCGCCATCAGGGGCCGCCGCCGGGGCATGCTTACTTCTCTGATCTTATCCATGGTGACAGTAGGCTATTTGCACGGGCTCGAGGGAATATGGATCGAAGAAGAGAAGGCAAACGACGGCTTTCGCTCAGCGAGAACCAGAAGGACAGAGAGAGAGAGAGAGATGGGGACGCGAGGATGCAGTCGAAGAAAGAGACCGAAGCCAGGTGTCTCGTGGAGTGGGCTAGTGGGTGCTGGCGGCAGGCGGCGCTGGCTGCAGTGCTGGCAGCGCTGGAGACGCGCCAAGCGGCCCTGTGGTTAGCGCGGCCAGCAGCCTGTGAGGCAAGCCAGCGGCGGTGGAGTGCGGGTCTGGCCTGGGATCGTCCCGTCTCCACGGGCAACCGCCCAAAACAACAAAAGGGATCCAGACCAGCCCGAGATCGATCATCGACTCCCAAGTTCACCGCTTGGTACAGCCTTGGATGATCACGTCGACATAGCAAGAGTGCCGTCATGCTCGCTCTACGAGACCAGGAGAACCTGGTGCACGCGCAGCAGACCTCTGCCGCCGCGAAGCCGCTCAACCAGAGCCTTCGACAGCTGCAGCCCAAGACGCCCGGCACCAGGGCCCCCAAGACGCCTTTCAAGGTCCCTCTGAACGACGAGAATGATCCTCTGGCGTTTGGAAAGAAGACCGTGAAGGGCAATGGACTACGCAATGAGAACAGTCTCAAACCGGCCAAAGATGCCTTCGTCACCCCACTGGGTGAGTGATGGTCTGCACCGAAGAGCTGTGAGGAACGTTGGACTGATGGAATGGCTGCCATAGGGCCTCGAAACCGCGCTCCTTTGGGAATGAAAACGACCAATGCCAAGGCAAAAGGCCTGCAGACTCCAGCACCGCCGGGTGACACCGTGAAGCCAGAGAAGACAAATCGAAAGAGCTCAACTACTCAGAAAGTGAAGAAGGCTGCTCCGGCAGCGCAACGAAGCCAGACGGAGCTCCTGGGGAAGCTGAAAGAGGATGAGGTTCCTGATGTCGAGTATGCGCCAACAAAGCCAAAGGGTAGGACTTGCGCTCCCAGCGTGTATGTTACGGTTAATATGGTTATTGACACTTTTACAGAGCTTCCGGACGATCCGGATGATATCGTCTATGATACGACATTCCCCCAATTCCAGCCTCAGAACATGGCTCGGGGATGGGAGAAGGTGTACTTCCATGGCGAGGTTGGGGAGGACGGACTCACCCAGAGAGAGCGCAAGTTCAAGGAAGAATCGATCGCGTACGACAAGCTTGTCGACGAAATGATCCAGAAAGAGGTGGAGAATATCAACATTCATGAAGACTCCGATGAGCCCTCTTGGGAGATTCAGCCTCAGCGACGAGAGGAGCAAAGTGCCAAAGAGAATGCGAAGAAGACGCACGCCAGGAGTGTTTCCACTATCAAGTCTCGAGACGCAGCTGCGGCTCTGTCCCAGTTAAGTGGTCCGTCCTCTTCTCGGTTGAACACTGTGAAGTCTTCCGCAGCTCCTCAGTCAAGCAAGGTGTCCTTGATTGCACCGAAGAAGAAGAAAACCCCTGCTCCTACCAATCCATCCTCGATGCGTCATGCTGCTGCAACTGCCAGATCTCGCACGACCCTGGGCTACTCTAAGGGCAGGAGCGTGTCGTCAGCCCTGAAGGGCAAGACAACCAAGGCAAAGGAAGACCAGTCAGCGTCGAAGAGCATTCTTTCCCCAGAAAAGTATATGCAACTTTACGGACCGCCGCCTCCCGGAAGCGACATGTGGACCCGCTGCAAAGAAGCCGGTCTTCTTGACGAGGAAGAAAACACCGACGACAATGGCGAAGTAGATCTGCCGGTCTACGAAGAGGACGAAGAGACTCGGAATTTCCAGCTGACTTTGTAAGGCTGTCATGTCTACAGGGCATGGAATTTGGACAGAATGGTATTTTTATGGAGGGCAGGCGCTTGGATAATTAACAGGGTTAGTGACCAGATTAAATAATGGCGGAATACATGGTACGGTTGTGGGTCTCATGTGTCTCGGCGTTTTTACGGAGAGCAAACATCAATGGCGTTCCTGACGGGTCAACGACTGCATCGATTATTGTACGAACTGGCAATGTTATGCTGTACTGTACGGATTACTTGGTGTAGATACTATTACGAGGGTATTTCCAAAGTCTTTTCTCAAGCCATTGAACCAGCTACGAGGAACTGCGTAATCAACTATCGGTCCGACACACTGGTTCCTGAGGATCATTGTTTTAGCTCAGCTGTGGATCGTTGCGTTTCAGCTTCTCTTCGAGCCGTGCAGTGAACTATTATTGCCTGGAGTCCCCGATGAGGCTGCAAACAACCACAATTGACACCTCCACCGTCAAGCAAGACAATTGACTGGTGAGAGGAGAGCTCCACAGGCGAATTATGGAGTTTCCAGTCGTCACTATTGAGTCCGCTGAGGGCGTGTTGCGGTGTGAACGGGCGAGCGCTGGGCCCGTGGAGTGTCTAGCTCGGACGGCGGACTCTAGCGCGCCCACCACAGCAGGTACCCTTCCCCCGAGTGCAATCCCACACCCTTGCAGCGTTGGAAACAACACCCTGCAAGCCTCTCCATCCCCCAGGACAGACCTCAATTCGCCGTGAGACAATGGCGAGAGCACACTCTGAGTCCTCCGAGGACTTTGAGTTCATCGAGACTCCCGCCGCTCCGGCGGCCACTGCTCCCCCTGAGGAGTGCGGTGTGAGGAGAACCGCGGTATGTGGTGACTGGAGAACGTGGCCAGACGGGCAGTGAACGACAGTATACTGACGCGTTGCTGGACAGTATCCTGCGATCAAAAATGCCCCTCTCCCGGCGGATGCGGCAGGTAATGACAGCTTCTCGAACACACTGCTGATTACTCTCCTGGTTGGCGTCCCGTGGTACCTTGCTCGCCAGGTGGGCGGCGGCTTCTACACCACCATCTTCTTTGCCATCTTCACCACCGTCCCGATTTTGATGGTCTTCTGGACCGTCGCGTCCTCCATCTCTCCCCGCAAGAATGAGAAGGCCAAGTACCCTGGCCGCCCTGTCGAGTACTACCTGCACTTCCACAACGAGCATGACCGGGCCAAGTACCGTGGCAAGAGCAAGATTCCCATGGAGATCTTCTACGAGAAGTACTTCAATGGAGAGGTTGACTTCAAGGGTGACGCTCTGGAGATCCTGGAATACAGACACGACTGGGCCAGCTTCCGCTTCACCTGGGGTCTCTACAAGCACTTCCTTACCGGCTTCATTCCGGAGATGCTTCTGCACACTCGTTCCCAAGGTATGATTTCATAACCATCAGTAAACAGCGTAAAATATCAAACTAAGAGTTGCATTCTCCTAGATGAGGAACAGGTGCGTGACCACTACGACCGTGGCGATGACTTCTACGCCTGGTTCTTGGGTCCCCGCATGATCTACACCTCCGGCATCATCAGCGACATCAACAAGGAAGAGACGCTGGAACAGCTTCAGGACAACAAGCTGGCTGTTGTGTGTGAGAAGATTGGACTCAAGCCTGGTGACACTCTCCTTGATCTCGGCTGCGGCTGGGGCACACTGGCCAAGTACGCGTCCGTCCATTACGGTGCGCACGTCACTGGTATTACCCTTGGCCGCAACCAGACCAAGTGGGGTAATAATGCACTGCGTAAGGCTGGCATTCCTGAGTCTCAGAGCCGTATTCTCTGTATGGACTACCGTGATGCCCCCCACGTTCCCGGTGGCTACAAGAAGATCACTTGTCTCGAGATGGCTGAACACGTCGGTGTCCGTCACTTTGGTAGCTTCCTGTCGCAGGTGTATGACATGCTTGATGACGATGGTGTTTTCTTCCTCCAGATCGCTGGTCTGCGCAGGTCGTGGCAGTACGAGGATCTGATCTGGGGTCTGTTCATGAACAAGTACATCTTCCCTGGTGCGGACGCGAGCACGCCTCTTGGCTTTGTTGTCGACAAGCTGGAAGCTGCTGGGTTCGAGATCAAGAGCATTGACACGATTGGTGTGCACTATTCCGCTACTCTGTGGCGTTGGTACCGCAACTGGCTGGGCAACCGCGAGAAGGTTGAGGCAAAGTATGGCAAGAGGTGGTATAGGGTGAGTATCTTCTTTTCATTCCTTGTCTCTGATCCGTTTGCTCATATCTTATAGATCTGGGAGTACTTCCTGGCCTCGTCCACCATCACCTCCCGCCAGGGCGGTGCAACGTGCTGGCAGATCACCCTAGTGAAGAACATCAACTCGACGCACCGTATCGAGGGTGTTCCGTCTCAGTACGGTCTCGCTGGTGCTCGCCAGGCGGCTATTGACAACGTTGGCAAGGGCACTCTCCCGAGCGCCAACGTCACGCCTAAGGAGGCCTAAGGAGTAAACTGAGGCTGGTTTGCGGTGGCCTGAATTCTCTTTTTGGCGCGATTTGCCAGGAGGAGGCCGAAATTAATGAAGGTGGCCTGCAGTTGATTTCCTTTTTTTTTCAAGTCATGCTCACGTGTCGGTATGTCGGACGCATTTCAGTATGGTTCACGTATCGTTTCGTCCAAGCAAGCAAGCAAACCCTGTTAGTAAAGTAAGTAGTCTTGTATGTGGTGAGGCGGGGTGTGGTGAAGAGTAAGAGTAATGCCCGGATGGTTTTTTATATGGATGTTGATTTCCTGTAATGAGAGAGCGAAAACAAGACCTCTGAGTGAACCGAGAGGTCAACTAAATTACTCATGGATATCCAGAAAATCAAAATCGAAATCAAAAAGAAAAGAGCGAGATGATGATTACTCGATTACTCTATCTATCGATTAAGTATAGATAACATACGTACCTGACTACCTATATTGACACCTCGTCCCGTCCGTGGCATAATACTAGTTGTGTTTGTTTTTTTTTTTCCATTTCCACTGCTCTGAGTCTGTTGTCTCCTGATCTGTGAAGTTGAACCTTTTTATATATATGGGACGTTCAGGAAAGTTTGTATATTTCCTGAAAAGGAAGCACTAACACTAACAATAACAATAACATCACACATAAAGGAAAAGAAGGCCCAATAAAAATGAAAAAAGGCAAAAAAAGCAAAAAAAAAAATTTCTTTAAAGATGGGATGTACCCCTGCAATTTGCTAGGATTAGTTATAATTATTATATAATGTGTCTGGTGGTAGGTAGGTAGGTAAGTAAGTAGGTAAGGGCAGGATAAGAATGGGACGACGTCAGGTGCATGATAATAGAAAAGACAAAATGAATGACTTACCGGCTAACTAGTGTTTTGTAGGTATGTCTTTCTTTTATGAATATATATGGAGCAACGGAGCAGGTACATAGATAGATAGCATTGGTATGGATACGGTTTTTTAATTCATCAACCATAGGCATATATTTATTATTATCTTGGTGAAAGGAAAAGAAATGAAAATGAAATGAAAATCCGAAAATGGAAATCTTTCTGTATATCTATGTCAATACATGTACATGCACAAATTGAGTGATATCGAGACTATAACTTCGCCTTCGGGGCAACCGCCGCAGCCTCGTCCTCCTTGGCCTTCTGCTTCAGAACCCGACGGAGAATCTTACCGCTGACGCTCTTCGGGATCGCGTCGATAAACCGCACTCCGCCGCGCAGCCGCTTGTGCTGTGCCACCTTGCTGTTCAGCCAGTTGACGATGTTGGCGGCTTCTTCCTCGTCGCTCACGCCCGAGGCTTTGCTCTTCGCGCTGCGCACGACGTACGCCCGCGGCACCTCGCTGCCATGCTCCTTGCTCTCGACCCCGATGACGGCCACGTCGTCGACGGCTTCGTGGTCCAGGAGGATCCCTTCCAACTCGGCCGGCGGAACCTGGAAGCCCTTGTACTTGATGAGCTCCTTGACCCGGTCCGTGATGTAGAAGTTGCCCTCCTTGTCCTGGTAGCCGACATCGCCCGTGCGGAACCACCCGTCCGGTGAGAGACACTCAGCCGTCGCCCTCGGGTTGTTGTGATAGCCCAGGAACACGTTGGGTCCGCGCAGGTACAGCTCGCCAACTTCTCCAACGGCAACTTCCCGTGGCTCGGAGCCGTCTTCGGGCGTGGTCATGTACTTCGCTTCCATATTTGGCATCAATTTGCCTACGGAACCGATGTACTTGTCCCATTCGTCCCACGACTGCGCGTGGGACGTTGGACTGGTCTCGCTGAGGCCGTAGCCCTGCTTGATGCCGACCTTGATGCGCGACGATGCCGCCTCGACAAGCTCACGGGTGAGTGGTGCGGCGCCGGAATTCATCATGCGCAGGCTCGAGAGATCATACTTGTCCACCACAGGATGCTTGCTCAGCAATAGAACGACCGGGGGAACGACATAGGCATAGGTGATCCGGTAGTTCTGAACGTTCGCGCAGAACTTTTCAATGTCGAATTTGGACATGATAATGGCGTGGTATCCGCCGTACATGGTGTTGTGGATGAGGCATGTCAGTCCTGCAGAATCATGTCAGTACGACCGGAATACGGACTCAAAGAGTATCTCGCCTGCTTACCGTAGATGTGGAAGAAAGGCAGAAACGCTAGAATTCGATCTCCCTTGCCATCCGCACCGCCATTCCAGCTAAAATATCGGCCATCGGCTCTGTGATTCTGACACACATTCGAGACGATGTTACAATGCGAGAGCATCACTCCCTTCGGCAGGCCTGTCGTCCCGGAGGAGTACACCAAGAACGCCAGATCTTTCTTTGGATCGATTTTTGTTTTTCGGTACCTCGACGCACCGGAGATGTTGCGAATGGAGGTGAAATGCTTCGCTCGGGCCTCTGGGTCGCGTGCGTCTCCCATCAGAATGACTCGATCCTCCGGGATGCCGGCCTTCTGTGCGGCTTCTCGAGCGACTGGCAACATGGGGACCTGGGTGACCAGGGCCTTGGCTCCGGAGTTCTTCAGCTGAAAGGCCAACTCGTCTACCGTGTATGTGGGGTTGGCGGGCGAGATCACGCCGCCTGCCCAGAGGGTGCCCCAGGTGATGGCGGGAGTGTCGACACAGTTGGGCGTGAACAGAGCCAGGACATCGCCTTTCTTCCAGTTCCAGGTAGACTTGAGACCCTTGCCGAACTCAAGGGCAGTATCTCTGATCTGGGCGTAGGTGTACGACCGCTTGGTGTCGGCATCTTGGAAAATCACTGGACACAGGTCATTACAAATATTCCTAGAAAACTCGGACATATAGAACTTACCTTTGTCGTCAGGGAATTCACGGTCTTTTCGCTCGAAGAGAAAGGTCCAGATGTCGACATTGGGAATGTCGATGGGCGGATATAGCGACTTGGTAGGCATTGCTAGATCGAATTGAACAGATAGAGGGTATTAGTTACACAAGGTAATGAGAAAGACAATTTAAAAATAGTGATGTTATTCTAAGGCGCAGAGATATGGACCATCCCCTGTCTATCGAAATAACTCCAACGAAGCTTGCAGGACTGTTTCTCTGTAAATTGGTTAGTAGTAAGTAGGACGGAGTAAATAGCGTCGGTGTCGTCGGGGAATATGCCTATTGCCTCGGTATGTTCCAGAGGGGCCGGCTATTGGGCGGACAGAGGCGGAGTGTGGAGAGAGCACGGCGGACGCGGACTGGCTACAGTGCTTGAGGCTCGGCAATGCTTGCTTCGACCCCGCAATGAGACTGCTTACTAATGAATTCTCTGTCGAGGCTCCAACTTTAACTTTCTCAATACACTGGAGATTTCTTCCTTGGATTCGGATGCTTCTTGATTCCTGCAGTTCACATTTTTCCTGTTGAAAACAGTTGCGTGTTTGGCATACCGCATATCAACGGAGATATCCACGGAGTAAATTCCGTATTTAGTCTTCAATCCAAGCCTTGAAGCCTTCTGTTGGCACCTGCGCCTGGGCGCTGTGGCTGAGTATTCCAAGCAATGTCCAAGAGATACGTCCTGGATACAGTCATTACCATCTTAGGTGTTCCCTAAGATCCTTTCGCTTTACTTTACTTACTTTCTTTCTTTTGTTCTTTTTTTAGGCTTTGTCTGTTTTCATGTCTGGCAGCACCCTGCTGCTCCCCTCACTGCGAAGTGGGATTTGATGTTCTGTGCCCGCCACCGCCTCGGTTGGCGGGCCAATCAGAAGTCATCATACTAAAACTGTGTACCCTTATAATTCAGTTTCAATCCTCCGCAAGTGCCTTCGGGCATCTGGTCAATTTGAAACGATACAGAGAAGATTAGCATGGCCCCTGCACTAAGGATGACACGCTCAATCAAAGAGAAGCTACCAGTTTTTTTTTAATTCTTTACTGGGTCAAAATGGAGGTAGGAGGTGTTAGGTATGTAGACTGTAATAGATAGCGATGCGGTTCGAGTCGGGGGTTGATTTTCTTTTTTTTTTCCTTCCGACCTGCCATTCGGTGCCTGCATGCCTGAGGCACAAACTGAGGCAGTCGAACACAACACTCGTGGCAAGATACCTCAGGTATCTTTCCTTACTCATTACGAAACCTTGCTTCCAGTGAACTCAGTCTCCTTCAAGGTAGGGAAATAGTAGATGTCCCTCAGCAATATGCAGCACAGGAATATATTTTCATTCTATCACTTAACTCAATCTTGCTACACTCTGCTCTCCTTTTCCTGCGATTTTGTCCAATACATCACCAGGAATACTTATGTCAGCTTGCTTTATAATAGAAAACCTTTAACGTAATCAATCACCGAGCGAAACAGATCACCGAGCGAAACACCCACCAACGCCATTATTATTAGATATCTAATTATCTCACCACACCACCCCTAAATTGAAGCTATTTACATGTAAAATAATTGCCTATTTACTAGGGCAGCTGACCCTAGTATGACCTTGAATATTGCAGTTGCTGCACCGCGGTGGTGCACGTCTTCTAGGCTGCATATCAGCTTGGTCAGCTACCTCTGCCTGCAATTCTGCAGCTTGCTGAGCAAGCTGCTGGCCTTCTTCAGCACGTTAAAATCCCCCCGGTAGCCAATATAGGATCTAGCTGTCTCTTGCTTGCGT